CAAATGAATTTTCATTGCTTAAAAAGAGAATGGAAGCAAAGTACCAACTGAGTCAACAGCCAGACATTAGTGAGAAACGTGATCAACAAGTAATGACCAACTCTAATATTTCACAGCTAAATAACTCTAATAGCTAAATTACAATGTCGGTGTCTCACATGTATTCATTCACCAAAGTCTTCCCCAGTTCTTTCAAAAATGTCTTCTTTTTTCATTTTCATGCTGTTTGGTTGCTGTCCTAAATCAGCCACAAGAGCCTGGTGATCAAAATGAGCAACCTGGAAATTCCTTCTTCCTTTTTAAATTAAATTAACTAAAAATGTAGTCCAAAGCTTTCCGAACAATGCTGTTGCTATTTAAAAATCATAACTATTACCCAGACAATTCACACACAAAAATGCCTGTTTCCCACATGCAATCTACAATGCGGTCCTTTGGACTCTTTTCCTTTAAGTATCCAGACCAATTGACTGTGGAAAACTGAGTGTTTTACTTTAGGAAAAGAGCTTCTTGCCCCACAACCAACTCAAACAGGTGGAGCAAAACATGCGCCTGTTTTTCTAGGTGAAAGCTATATGGCTGTTTAACTCTTGTGAGCATTCCACACAAATACAAACAGAACCAAGAGGGAGGACAGTGTTAAGTGTATGTCATCATAACGCCAAACTGTAAAAAGAGCTTATCCCCAAATTTGCACTAAACCCTTCGGGTGTTGCTTGGAGAAAATTAAATTGCACAACGTGATTGGAAAAGGGCAAATCAATCAAAACAGAGCAGTCACCAGGCCATGTATGTATGTGCCCATCTGAGATAACCTGAGATGTCTGGCTGTTATATTTTGATTGATCTGTCCTTTTTCAATCACATTGTGTTATTGGTGGGCAATTAAATTTCACGAAGGTCTGAAAAGTCACTGGTGGACAGCACTTGTAGATGAGTCTGGAAATGGGTTGCCTTTCTGCACACAACAGGTATCACTTTTTAACACAGCAGATGGGTTGGTCCTCTGCAAAACATGCCCTGGAAGGCCACATTTGGAGCCAAATAAAAAATTGCTCATCTGTAGTCCAATGGAAAAGACTGCCATTTTTTAATTATTAAAATGTTATTACTCTTCTGTAAGGGGAAAAACATCTCATGTAAACTGATAATTTACACTGATGTTTTATGAGGGTTTTGTTCACCTTGCAAATACAGATTAGAAAATTATGATTTAAAGTATTGATGGCATTCTTGCCAATTACCTAGTTTTCCCAATTCCATTGAAAGATATAACTCTTTAAGGCAGTTAAACTCCTAAACAACACTGAAAAGAGAAACTAGCATTTGAGTTGGGTGCAATGCAATGCCACGCTGCTTATATTGTGCAAACCCATTTAAGCAAATGATCTGAAGAAAATGCAAAAATTCTGGATGATTGAAAGTTTGGATTAAGGTTTTCATGTGACTTTCTTTTCAGAAGAACATTTTTCTTAATCAAAGTCATAATCCATGAGAATGGGTTTTCCTATTGACTAATGTATCTTTCTAAGCTGTATTCTTTCATAATTCTGATTTATTTCAATAGCACTTAATCAATGGGGTTACCTGGTACACTTCCCTTTAAAAGCCCCTAGGCAACTTTTCTTGGAAAAATGTAAACTATGTGGCCTGTTTCAAGAATGCTTTTTTAATATTTTCAGTGCCATCAGCTCTGAACTCCTTCACAGAAAATGTTTCCAGTAATAATCCTATTTAAAATCATGAAAAATAAGTTTTAGAAACGGGTCAATTGATTCCACCAATCCTACTATTTTAACAGAATTACATTGACATGGTGGTGGGTATGAATTTGGCTACTCAAAACTTAAACAGGAGGAATTCTGCTGTGAGCCTGTGAATATTATTGGCATCAAAGCTATAAATACATAAGCCAATTGCAGAATATTGCCTAGAACGGAACATTTGAAATAAAAGCTACAGCATGAGTGAACGAAAGCTTACACATTGTTTCTCATCTGTGCGCCTAGAATGTACTATGCCTCAAGGCTCCGTAGGATAACAGCAGATATAAAATGGAAAACACACAAGAGGAGATGCACATTGCTGCATCCTATATATATATATATATATATAGGCATTTTCCAAGAAAATCAATGGCAAAAATCCCCCAAAATTAAATGGAAATGGGTTCAGAATCACAAACAGATGCAAGAAACACTTAATGATGGTTAATAAATGTCAGTCTGTAAACATTTATATAAATCAAGCCTGCGTGATCAGGAGCTGCCATTTAGAACACACACTCAAAGCTTTCCGTTTACGAACCGCTTGCCAAAATTTAAAAGTACTACCAATGCACAGACTTTCTCTCATCGTGCTTTAAAGCCTGGAAATTGTGCTGTGTCCAGTTAGATGCTTGGGTTGCTGCAGAATCTCACATGCCCCTGAGCCAGGAGCCAGGAACTGGCATGCGAGCTCAGGCATGTTGAGATGTTGCAGCCTCTCTCCCTGCCATCCCACTCCAGGCGATAGACCCCTGTCAGGATTCTAGACAAGAGTCCTCCAGCACAACGCTGCGTTCAGCTAGTGTTCTCTAACCCAAGATGCCCTGTGGCTGAGAGAACCGCAGCTTTTCCAGGCAGGCAGCGCTCAGGGGCTCAAGTGGCCTCTCTTCTGCCTAATGAGCAGTGAGCCAAGGACTCTTCCCAGCCTCTCCCCCTTTGACAAGGAAAAGGATCACCAGCCAGTGAGCCATAAATGCCTCCCTTGCTCTTAATAAACTCAGAGAATGTACTGCTACTCTGGTACATGATGGTTGTAGATTGTTCTGCAAATTATACCCCTGGACAAGGGACAAAGTATCAATAAAATAAAAAATTAGGTAATGCAGATAAGCCTTGTTACTGTACAGATCCAACCTGTAGGAGAAAACTGAATGCCTGCCTAGAGTAGAAAGAAGCAAAATTGTTGGGGGACAAAGGAAAGAAGAAGAAGAAAGCCTTTGTCTTTGGCTCTTTTCACTAGCTCCTTTGGATGAAAGCACCAGGAAGGAGTTTCTTTGTAACTACAGTATAGGCAAGGATGCTGCCCCACTCAAGTTTTCTCTAACTTGAGCCCTGAAGTTATCTACTAAAGGTTTCTGATGACACGTTCTTAAGATCATTTAACATATGCTACCCATTAACACATTGTAATAACCTGTAATCAAGACGGTTTAAAACTTAGGATAGGTTTCCCCCCCCTACACACACACACTTTCACTTTCTATTCAGATCTTCCATGCTGATGACTATAATCTGTTTTAGTGATGCTCTGAGTACAGAACCAGGAGGTGGTAGTTAGATTAATTAACCTGGAATAAAGAGTGTGATCTTGTGATGTGCAGTAGGACTTGATTTGGCTCTCATGTTGCTGCAAACAAGGGGGAGTAAAAAAGTAGTTTAAAAATTGATCAAAATATTACTTAGGTTGAAAAGGGTATAGCTGTCTGATTTGGATAAGTGTGCGAGGGGTCAAATTCATGCCTATCTAATACAGATATTCATGTTAAGATTCGCACACTAAGTCATGTACAAGGAAGGGAATTCCTTGGAAGATGGCTGATCCTCAGGAGAGATTATCTTGTGTTATGAAGAATCAAGTAAAGCAGAATTCTCCTCTAACCTCCTGCAGTTAATTGAGCTGTTTGTATAGGACTGATTTTCCTGATGCCTGCAATTACATGCAAGTCATATTATTTTATGCATAAAATGTGTACTCTCTCTCTGAAAAAATATTTAAAATGATCAGCAGAAATAAATAGCTGACTTTTATGCAAAACATCTCTATTAGTTGTGATTCCTAGGTTGGGTTTTCCACATTATTATAGATATTTATATTTCAGAAAAGCCACCATGCTCATTTTAAACTCATGGGAGGGTGTGGTGTGTTTTTTTTAATTAAAGCCATATTATTATAGGTTATGCTTTTCTGCATTTGTCACGAAAGAAAACTATGCATCTGGATGCTTTTATGGCATCAGCAAATTGTCTCAAAGCAGCCACAGTGTCTCCAACTTACAGAAAAGTAGTATTTGATTATGTTATGGCACACTGAACAGAAGAGAAATGTTATTCTCTGTCTTTTGTGAGTACAGCTTGTGGTGCTTTCTCTTTGAGTCCAAATTCCCTGTGCTTTCATACATCATCAGATCTGTTTTTCCTTGCAACATTGCAAGTAACAGCTGGACCACAATGAACCTCCTCCATAGATGTGGGAATGTTTATATTTAGCTGCCAATGACTAAAGTCCTTCGGCTTTCACTAGCCAGTCACAGTTTGCATTGTTGTTGCCTGTTTATTTTCCTTCTCTCTTTATTTCTTGACGTGCACCTCTCCACCCTCGCCCACACTCATGCAAAGTGCATTGAAATATTAGCCAGGTTAGAAGTTCATTGGGAAATTACACTAAGAATGTGCTTTGAGAAGGCACATAGAGAGATCGTTTCCTCAGAGAGCTTTGCTTTTGTTATAATGCACCAGTTTAATCATTTAAAAGGAAAAAGTCTGAGGCTGCAATCTTGCAACCAAATATTCCAGCTTAATCCCATTTGATTTAACCTGGATTTATTTGAAGATAGATTGCTTTAGGACTGCTGCAGCACTGAAGTAAGTAGAAAATGTTAACCCTTTCTATAAATCCACATTTATGCAGCATAATTCAAAATGCAGACCTTCCTTAAAAGTTAGCTAGATTTCTCCCTATTAAACAACTCTTTTCTTGCATACACTTCTGTGCAACAGGAAAAAGTTTCCTTTTTATAGCTATTATAGAGAGACTTCCATATACAGCTCTGGTGTTCCAGCAATCTGTTAACTTTTCAGCTAAGATTCCAAACCAAGCTATAGAATATATAAAAGTGATTTCTTGAGGAACTCCAATATTTAAAAACAGAAAATAATGTCAAAATAATATTTGTCTGTATAAAAAATATATATATTAAAACCTAACAAGGAAAAAAAATTGGCCACACCACACTATAAGGTTAAAAAGAAAATAGTATAATAAAGGAAATACAAAGGCTTTGGCATGGTTTTTACAATCAACAATGGTTAATTTTGATATGTCGTTGTGAACAACTTCAAAACACTTAAGTTTAAAACTCTTGCAAGCACTTTTAATTGATTAGGAATGAATTTTAGATGCACAAAAATGATTGGACTGTGAACAGTAGTACAACTTCAGCTAAGAACAATTAACTTTTGCTGACCAAAAAAGAAACGTTTGATGCATGAAAATGTGTATAAAACATCTATAGAATATTCTTGTCAAATATAAATGAAATTAACTTTATTATAGAAATCATTCTGGGAGATTTCTAGGGAAGACAAATACTTACATTTTGACATAAAACAAATTGGATTATATCGAAGACACAATCTATCCTTTTCCTATCAAACTTTTCTTCTTTGAAGTTCTCTCTTGATCCTTCGTTTGCACATAAGCATCATCTGTTAATAACCTTTGGAAATCCCACCAGATATTTTTCTTACAGAAATCTAATGCCGTATTGTTCCAGGTTGAATTATATGCAATGGAATGATACAAACTTGGAGCATCAGTCTGAAATCTATGAACAGATTGGTAGAAGTATTCGATATAGCTTGATAAAACTCTTAATTCGTGGCAAAGCTTGTTGATCATGGCTTCCTTTTTTAAAAATAAAATAAAAAACACAACTTCATGACCAACACAAAAGCAAACATCCATTCAGTCTACATTGTTCTTTTTTCATTATAACATACAAATGCCCATTTACAAATAATACATCAAAATGAATAAAAGTTTGGATACCAAAATGAAGATTTGTTCCAACTGATATAATGCCTTCATGTATACAAAGGTCCATGTTAAAGTCTTTCTCCATGTGTTATGTCGTAGGGCACAGTTGCAGTACAGACGTACTCTGAAAGCCGTTCTTCTTTTAGAAAACACAGCCCAACCTCCAACTGTTGTCCATAGAGCCATTTACAAAATCAAGACATGGTTTACTGTAATCTTGGCCAATATTGAGACATATCAGGTTCACTGCCGGGAACTTGAACAGGAACTGACACTCCAGGGGAAATAAGACCTTAAAAGAAAAAGAATAAAATTTTTATAGTAACAAATACACATATATTCAGTTTCTATTAAAAGGGGGCTTTCTTCTAAAGCTTCCAAGGCTCTGTTAAAGAAGTCAGTAATATCTTTCCCTGTTTGATCCTTTCCTAATTTTAGGAAATCAGTTGACCTAGCCATCTGCAAGCATATTAGAAAATACTTTTTGGCCCCACAGTTAAATGTCCAGTCAATCTGCTCTAACATTTTCAAATTGTAATGGGATACAGTCTTTTATTTTTATGTTCCAACTTTATCTAGAAGTGCTGAGAGGCGGAAAGATATAAACTGGAAGGAAGAAACAAAACAACGTTCTGTTCATCCTTCCTTCCTTCCTTCCTTCCTTCCTTCAAGTGCAGCCTCCCCAAAACAAGTCAGGAATGGCTTCCCTATCTTATACACAAAGAGTCAAGCCACTATGTTTAAGCAACTGCTGAGTTTTTAACAGGTAACTAACAATCACATTTGGATAGAAAATTAGCAATAACTTTCTGAATAAATTGTTGAGATCATACTGGCAGGAGAAACAACTCCTTTAAATTCCTTTTGACAAAGAAACAAAGGGGGTGCTTACCTGTTGAAGTTGCACCAGAGGCGCCCATTGGCTGGCTGTTCATATGTGTCTGCATGTGAGGAGGGGTATATGTATCATAACTCCTCCCATTTACTGACGGACTTGTGGGCAGCATGCAAGAGTAAGAGGAAGTCTGGCTGGGTACCGGGGGCTGAAAGAACAAAGCAAGGCTTGTGAATTTCAGCAGCATCATATAGCCATTGTTTCCTTGTAGGGACAGTAGATAGACTCTACACACAAAGAAGTTAAACATTCATATTTAGTGCCTTGTTCCACGGAGTGCTCAGTCTTCATGGTTCCCACCCCCAAAAGAGGGCAAATGATTCCCCATCTATATTCCATGGCATGCAGAGAGCAGGTCCTTCCACTATTAGTCTTATTTATTATATTCATATAGGGGCTACTTTCTTTGAGCACTTCACTTCCCCAGATTTGAGCACTTTCAGATCTGTCACTGGGTTGGGAAGTGGAGAGTGGAGCATCCTTGCTCAGAAGCATTAACAGTGAATTGGGCTATGTTTTTGTTTATATTGGAATGCATGTTAAAGGCACTGAGAAAAAAAGGCATCTCTCAGAAGTGCCAATCCTAATGATTTTCTCAAATTCAGTAAGAATTATCTATCTTCTTGTTTGTAGCAGGAAATCGGATCAGCTTACCAATCTATAAGCCTTACAGTGAAAACAAAAACAAAAACATTTTCTCTCTGGGTCTTGTCCACAAGCTTCCCACAAGTTGGTCTACCATTTGGGAATCACTGATGCAGAATATAAATTAGGGTGTGCATGAAAGCCACATCACTGAAGAAAAATATTGCTTATAAGAACTGATATCACTCTCAGTTTTGGGCAATGTATGGTTTAGGTCTTACATCCCAGTCCAATTTCTGAATCAGTGAATATGTTAGACTTCAAGGTGACAAACCAGTTTAAACCCATGAGGAATAGCAACTTAAATCTAAATATTTTATCTTAGTCGGGTTATGGATTGGCCTGGTTTTCTAGTTGTTTACCTATATTTATTCAGAACAGCATGGATATAGAAGCAGCAGATATAATACAACAGGCCCATTGGTAACCTTAATAATATACAATCCACTAATTTATACCTGTATTTATCCCCAAACTGATTGTCATTTGGACTGAGTTATTTTTTGGGGAGGAGGGGCTGCTAAAAGTAATTAGGTTCCTAATTCCCATTACTATTCCCTGTGATTTGGATATTTTACTTTCTAATCTCAACTCTCTGTCTTTCCTTTGAAAGTACTGCTGTTACATTTTTGTGGATATTAGGTTACAGTTGCACTCTGTGTAAAATCTGTGTAAAAGTGCTGCTTCTTCCTCAGCAATCCACATACAACAGAAACAACAATTGCCCTTATTTTAGGAATATAGTTTTGCTTGCACAACAACTGTCAGGTTCTTAAAGGACAGTATTTTGAAACATTCTGTATTTATCTTTTATCCAGAATTTATCTTTCATATATTATCTTTGGATTACTTTAGAACTCTTATCAAGCATGCTCAGATTCCCACTCCCAAAAATCCTGGGTTCAATTAGCAAAGAGTTCCCAACCCAAAATGCAACTCTGGTCCAAAATACAATTCAGATGCACATGCCAATTAAGTAGCCAACATAAACCCCTTCCCAACATTTACTCATGACTATGCATTAATATATTAGCTTCAGTTCTAAATTCAAGAGGCATATGCCATACATACTGTATTTACTGCAAATGTATTTGTATGTGATTGATTGTGGGGGTGGGGGGTCATAAAAAACATAGCAACCGATTCCATTACGGCCAATTCTACTATGATCTGATTTCTCCAAGCTCCAGCCTGAAATAGCTGTACCAGTCAATGCTTCATGAAAAGCCATGGAAAACCTATAGCTTCTGTATCTTCCTATGAGCTCCATCGCATGTGCACAATAATGATTGGGGACCCTAGCATTGTATCCCCCCCCCACTCAGCCAGCTAGTTATCCACCTGCTTACAAGCATGAGGTTTGGCAGCTCTGTTCACTTTAACACAGCTATTTAGAACTGCAGGTGCTGTTCACATCCTCCTCTCCCCCTTGGGTATTTCCAGGGTGCCAATAGCCACAGTGTCTCATCAGCCAAGGTGTAATCCTGCTAGCATTTTAATAAGCCTTTTCTCCTCACCAATGCTATACTAATGAGTTTCTCTGGTTGGGTACATTTTTTTTCTTAAACAGATTCTGAAACTTTTGCTTTATGAATTCAAATCCATGAGCGCCAATTAACTCACTACACATATTTTTCACAATTTTATCAAGTCCTTTATTTCTCTTTTCCAGTCCAGATGATCACATTCCAGGTTTGGAAAGCTCTTCCCAGTGATTGTGTACCTAACTATCATGTTCCATTGCAACAGTCCTTTTATGTTGGCTCATTCTACAACTTTTAGATCAATGGGTTGTATGCTGCCCTCCTATTCATGGAAGGCTCTTTCATCCAGCGGAGGTTTCCATGAATGGAAAGAAGGGGGAAGATGTTTTTTGCAAATTCCCCTTTTCTCCCGCAGTCCCCAGCACTATCTTCCATGAGGGTACTCAACCATTTTAGGGGAAATCAGAGAAAAGGGGGATATCACAATGCCCCGCTTTCCATTCACAAAAATATCTGCTGAATCAGAGTGCCTTACTTGAACAAATCAGACACTTTAGAAGCCCTGATTCAGTTGAAATCACATGTGCCCTACTAGAAAAACTAGTCATAGACCCCGAGTCTAAACATATTAGCCTTCATTCAGAAAATGTTCGCTGCACTTTTGTTCTATGGAAATCAATCAAGCAATGTATAACATTTTCTTACGATATAGCATGCCTATTCAAAGAGATCCACAACATTTATACACAATGCATCAGCCGCATGTCAAGAACTCTCAAACAGATTGAAATCAGTGAGACAATTAATCACAACTGAGTTAAATGCCATGGGGCTTAAGCACAATCAACTCTAACTGGATCAGGACCAACCACCATGATTCTATATAGATTTAATGCATGTTTCATTCTGCACAAGACTGTATCCTTTAGGTGGCATTTAGGTCTATTGATTGCCTTGTAAAGTATACAAGATCAGGGCGCTAGTTGTATACCCAATGGGCAAACTCCCATTAATTACCTGGATGTTCCTAATGCACCCTTTGGCTATAATTTTCCTATTGCTCTGGGAACTTTGCCTCTTTGAAATCAGAGTATTATGCAACTATTTACCAGGAGTTGAATACCTAAGAATATTGACAAATTTGCCTTTTACTCATAGCCTATTTCTTAGGTATGGTCCCATTCTTTTAATTAATATTAATCAATTACAAATTAAATTATTCTGGATTAACCACTGTCACATTTTTTTACAGTAAAACATAAGAAGAGTGTGCTGGATCAGACCAATGGCCCATCTGATTCAGTAACCTGTTATCTCAGTAGCCAATGTATATCAATGATCGTGGACACCATTTAGAATCATGCTGTAGTCAAAAGCAAGTCTTCTTTAAAAAAATGTGGGGGACTCCAATAGTGAGTTAATAAATGAGGTTAATGGGCATTAGAGAGTGTCTAAACTGTCCTTGAACACTACTGTTGTGAATTAGAAGCAGGTTCCAGCCCTGCTTCCACACAGCAAAAAGTTAGCTGTGGATAGGGTTAATGCTAAGACTCCCAATGCCACATATGGGGGCAAGACTATGATGCTCAGCAGTGTGGAGATCACTATGGAGAAACTCAGAGCAATGCCACTTAGCCAGCAACTTCCTGCCATCTTGCCCAATGTTCAATTCAGTTTAGATATTGTAAATTGGGTTTGAAAACCCCCATGTCACACTAATACAGGACTTTAAAAAAATTTAATTGCATATGGCAGTACCAAAGGAACAGTGCTAAAAAATTATTAGTCATTCTTTTTATTTACTTATTCTGGCCTTCACTCCCAAGCATTACAGTTTTCTCTTGGTTTAGTCTCACAAAGGTCCCTGGGATAGTGATTTGTCCAAGGCCACCCTGTGAGCTTCATGCTGAATAGGATTTTGAATCACGTCTAAACACTATCCACCAGTGGTGCTGTCAAGGTATAGCTTTGGGGAGAAAGCGCAGGGCCCCAGTCATCAAAATGACCAGGAGGACCCACCAAAAATGCCATAGGGCTGACTTACCACACGTTGAAATAATGCACATTACCATATGGAGGTGAGAGGTGGGGGAGGGAGAGAGAGAGAGCCATAATTTCTTCTAAAACTACCTAACTCACACAACTGCTATCCACAACAATTCAGTGACTTCTACAGGATAGTCTTGCCTATACAAAAGGAACAGAGTGGCAAACATAAGAAATCACTGAATTTAAGCATCCCTGTGAAATCTCAGAAGGACCAGATTAAACTATTGATGTTTTACTCAGGAATGACCTGATTGAAATAAAAAGGAGAAAACTATGCAGCATAGAAGCAAACTCCTAGGGGCCGAGGTCCCTTCACCCTCCCCCCCAATAAAATATTTGAGGAGGCTGGGCCCCCTGGAAGTTGATGGGCATTGCCATTCAAACGGTGTCTGTCCACCAAGTCTTGTGGTTGATTATGCAGGGCAGGGCTTACTTGTCCCCCCCCCTATTTTATTCAAGTTGGTACCCCTGCTTTGGAGTAGCCAGTTTGGAGGCTGCTGCCTTGCTCCTTCCAGGGTTTCATACCCAAGAGCACTTTACTCTGATTAATTGTTCTCAAAATACCCTTTAGCTCTCTGTCAGAATCAAGGTGGTTAAACCTTAGCAAAAATGATGTCCCGAGACCTGTTTGTGGATAAAGTGGAACTTCTGGTCGGCATTGTAGACATAGAGCCAGGCCCTGAGAGCTACTCCACATTAATTAGCCCAAGGAAGAAATCTTGATGAGTGGCTCAAGCACCTCCATTAGGCTAATCAATCTCAAGGAGGTTCTATGTTGACTTCACAAATTTGAAGACTTCATAATGGTGTGAAAACAAAAATCCCCTTGACCTTTGACAACCTCCTCTTTTGGCCTGGAATTGGCATTCTCCACCCCAGCCATCGAATGGGCAAGGCTCTGCCCAGCTCAGAGAGAGAACGAGAAGGTGGGGGAGAGAGAAAGAAAGAAAGAAAGAGAGCATATTAGTGGATTATACTTACTTGCATAGGCAGGTTGTTAGCCATTGTGAAGCTAGGCATGGGTGGCAAAGCACTGTATGTGTTTGTTAGCGCGGTGTCTGTTCTGCCCAGCATTGAACCTGATGTGAAAGAGGAAACTATAATAGAATAGATAGATAGACAGGATGGACGTATTAGTTTACGCTTCAATCAGATGACTGTATTACTGTACAGAGTGTTCTGTTCTATTGCCCCAAATGGGTGACTGACTGATCAATACATTTCTGAAAGCACATTACCAGGTGTTGTGGGTTGCGGGATTGGTTGGTAGACACTTGTGCTAAAACTACTGCTGATGGGAATGTGGCTGGGTGTGTTGCTGGCTTGTCTTCTCTGATTCCTTAGCTTCTCTTCCCGTCTCCATTTTGCCCTCCTGTTGGAAAACCACACCTGCAAAACGCAAGAGCCTTTCTGTTAGCACTGTGAAAAGAGGGCCGTGTCCTATCACGCATCATTCAGAGCAGAAGACCCAGCTACTTCTCTAGAGCTACTCATAGGAAGCCTCTATAAAGACAGAGACTCACTGCAACCTTTTTTCATAGGTTACCTATTACCTATTTAACAAAATGACTGGGGAATAAACATGGAACTACTGATCTACAAAGTCATCTGCATGTGTGACTGGCTTCCCACAGGGCAGATTGGATGCACATCTACTACACACCTGCACACATGGGGTTTTGTTAGGGGGCAGGCCTTTTGTTGGGGGGGCAGAACCTCAGTTTGCTATTGATTTTTATTGATTGGGGGGCATTTACCCCTCCCTTGTGCCCATGCCTGCACATATATAGCTAACTAGGCAAGATCCAGATGGAACAACAAGCACTGCTTGGGGCTTTCCTGTCCTCATGCATGGGAAGGGCTGTAGCCCAGTAGGAGAGCATCTAGCTTGGAATGCAGAAGGTCCTATGTTCAATCTCTGGCATCTCCAGGGAGGGATTGGAGAGGCCCCTGCCTGATAGAGGGCTGCAATGCGCACAACACTGAGCCAGATGGACCAGTGGGCTGACTCAGGATAAGACAGCTTCATATGTTCCTATCAGGCTGCAGATGGACAGCTTTGTTGGAGACTACGTATTTCCCCCTGAAAACATCAGTGTCCCCCTTTACAGGGTGATGGGAGGGGAGGGGAGGGGAGAGGAGGAAAGAAAACATTACATAGTCACTTGAGTACCTGTATTCTTGCTTCAGGCAAGTCTATTTTGGCAGCTAGTCTCTCTCTGGCAAACACATCAGGATAGTGAGTTCTCTCGAATTCTGGTAGAAAGGAAACATGGCGGAGTTAGTTTTAAAAACAGATCTCAGAAAGGACGGCCGCTTCCTGCTTTCAGCTGTCTATGTTTGAGTGCACTTTATGCTTTCAATCTTTTATGAGGAATCTTTCCACCAAAGTGCTCCTATGATTTTTATTCCTTTCCTTTAAGAAGAGGGAGATGACATTGTTCAGTGTTCACACACACATATACATTCTCTCACCCTGCTAGATAAATATGTGATTAATACCAGACTATGCAATTATAGGAGTAGATTGTTAAGAAAGAATTGACCAGAGTTCCTCTGTGTTTGGATGTATTTAGAGCAGCCAATGCATAAGAAATGAGGGCCTCCTTTTCCTGTGCTAACATTTGAACATGAGTAAGTTAATACGTGATCATCTAATCGGATTTCAAGCAAAGCGTTTGAAATCTGGGCCCAGAATCAGAGATGCATCAAAAGAAGCAGAAGGACAACTGTCCTCTGGGGCAACTGGTGATGCCAGGACAGGAACTGCAGTCTCAGTATCCTGAAAGCAGCCCTTCAAGCATATAATGTAACCTGAGAGAAGGGCGAGGTTGGCTGCAGTCAGAAGTCTCATCACCATGACTCAGCCAATATGCGATGCCGAAACTGCGGCACTGTGGAGCAGGTGGGTTGTCAGTTTAGAATGCCACCTCCAAGCATTTAAAAGATGCCTTTGGTATCATGTCACCTCCAAGCATTTAAAAGATGCCTTTGGTAGGAAAACCATGTGAGATCCTTGTCAATGTTCATCGAATAATTTCTTTGGAACTTGTCAGGATGGCCCAGAAGAGAGCAGAGGATGTGAAGCCCTTCCCTAGTTTTGACTCAGGCACATGCCACATACCTTTCTCAAGCGCTTCGATTTGTTCTTGGGTGAAGGAGGTCCGATTTCTTTGCAGCTTCCTTTTCAGCTGAAGCCTCATCTGGGCCTCGTCTGAATCTTCTCCATTGGAACTGATGGAGTTGGTGTTTTCTCCCCCTCCTTCTTGTTGCGGACAACCATCTGCAACAGAATGAGGAGGCCATCCTGAGAAAGACCAAGCTGGACCGCTATGTTCTAGCACAAAAAGTCAGCCGTGACCAAGGACATATCTTCTTAACCTTGCCTAAGTTACAACCACCCATCAGCTTACTTGAGGGTGAGATGAGGCCTCGTGATAAATTGTATGAGAAGCCTCTTATTGGTCAAGTTGTTTCTCAGTTAAACCAAACATATTTGAGGTCAGCATATGCCCAGACCCAAAACATGCTGCCACCTGATAGTTCTGCAGTACATGTATCTCATTGAAGTTACATGAAACTTCCTTGCATATAATCAGCTTGATCCAACTTCTGCTGTGGGACATGGAGCTGTTATACCCAAAGGAGGTGCGCAAAGTGGGCATCTAAACAAAAGGCAGAGGGGAATCTGCACTTCCAGGCTCTGAGTGTGCATGGCAACACTTGTGGAGTTTCAGACTGAGATTGGTGTAATAGGAATTGGGGATCAGAAGCCCCGGTACTGTATTCTAAATGGTTTGTGGACTAGAGTGTGAAGCTTAAGCCCTTGGTCCATACTGAAATACATGGACTACTGTGGGACTGGTGATATAAGGACAAACAATGCCTTATTTAAAAGGTTTATCAGTCTTGAAATCTTGGGTGGGATAGTGACTGAAGAAAAAGGTCACCCCCCCCTCCCACTTGCAATACAGAGGAGTTCAAAGGAATATGGAACAAAACACAAATTAGTATGTAACAATGGGGGACATATATCATGTTCAAATAAAGAAGATTCAGTTTATCTAAATAACAACATATTCCCACTGTATGAACTAAAGATTAATAATACATTTTAATTCTATTAGTAAAAGACATCACTTCTCTCTCCCATACAAATACAACAATCCAATAAATTATTTCAAGTGGAGATGGTTGTAACTTTTTGAAAATGCCCTGCAAAAGATCCTCTCTGTATGGAATTTATTTACCTATTGCTGCACTTAAAATAGTGATGTTCAGTATTTCAGATTATCTATAATCAGTAATTCCTATCTAATCAATTAGATGTTGATAGGTTTGCAGAAAATGCTATTAAGAAACCAAACCAAGCTTGTAATCTTTTTAAAAAAATATTTATCTAGTTTTGATTTGAATTCTGCACAGTCAATTTCATTTTAAAGGTTGTGAATTTAGAAGTGCCTGCATTGTTCTGCAGTTTTATTCAACTATTGTATGAGTGTGCATTGCCTTGACACCTATTACAGAGCACAGCTGTAATTATATCATCACCAAGAACAGGCTATAATTGCTGAAAATGGAATTTTATATTTAGATAAAAGGACTGTCCATTCTTTGTAATGTGTTGCACCAGAGAAAAGTAAGATTTCTTTAAAAATTTTAACATGTAATTTTAAAAAGAAATAGTAGCGAGTTTGCTAAGTAGCTAAATATGCTATTCTGCAGCTGAGCGCCTGGCATATCATTTAAGTGGTACATTTTTAATTAGGGCATTTCCAACACTTTTAATGTAATTTCTATCATTAAACAAGAGAAAGTTTTATTGTTTTCACATTGCTGCTGGAGGTAAAGATATGCTCGTGGTCTAGCTGTCTTTCAAAGTGTCTGCAGACACTGAGGGAAAAGGGAAAGGAGGGGGGGGAGAAGGGTGTTTTACAAAAGGAATGGACATTTCTGTAGAGGCAAAGGATAAGTTGTCAGTAAATTAACTCTCCCTCTCCTTTCAGAGAATAATTTGAAGCGTTTTGATGTTGCTAAATGAAAAATAGAAGAAGGGATTCTTTTGATTCTAACACTCTGGACTAGGAAGGAAGAGAGAGAGAAAAGTTATGCTACCAAAAAAAATCCACCAGCAGTTCTCTCTCTCTCCTAAGCCTGGAAAAAATATATATATTTGTGGGAAATCAACTTTAAAGTAATATCGTTTATAATCGGCTCACAATGGGGCCCAGCCTTCAAAGCCTCAAGAGAATTGTGACAGGATCTGGTAGGGATCTTTTCAAACACTTTGAAATGTTTTAAAACCCCAACTTTCTCCCCCATTTAAACAGTTGGATTCATCTCCAGTGGTCACCATATGGGCGTTTGGAGATCTATTGAGATGACCACCAACACTTGAATAGCGAGGGGGCTGCTTTTCACCAGGACACAATGCCCGCAGAGTAAGGGAAACTATTAAACTCTTGGGGCAAGGAGGAGGGTTGGCAAACTTTCGTGGGCAGAATTTTGAGGACACAATCAGGCAGGCCCAACAAAAGGATTCTCTTGAGGCGCGCAGCGGCCCACATTGTATCACAAGGATCCCAGTCAACAGACTTTTCAGTGAAGTATGTTAACCTTTAGGCACTACTATCATTAATCACTGTCCCCTGGGCTGGGCTACTCAATGCTATTTAGGATTTTTTAAAAACTTTCTATAGGAGCTGAGGAAGAAAGAAAGAACACCCCTAAACTGGTGAATAGGCCAGTTCCATACACTGAGCCTGTTTACTCAACACCAGGAAGGGGGGAAAGAGGTGGGGGTTAGAGGAGAGAACTACTTAGCTAAGATTAGAGAAGCTTCAACTAGCAGAGGAGAGTCCAGGACAAGGGCCCTGTTTTTATTTACTAGCTAGAGTTGGTGGCTGGCTTTTTAAGTTAAGGGCACTGCTAGGAGCCTCTTCCAGGAGTCCTCCGAGAAAGGCAGCCCACTCAGATCTTCAGCCCTAATTACTGCTGCCTTTTCTCAGCAAGGCTGATGGACTCTGAGCCCTACATTACACCTTGCACGCAGGTTGAGGTAGTTGAGGAGATACTTGAGCGCAACCCAGGCAAACACTGGTCGCCTCAGTCAATGATGCACGTGTGAAATTGACTGGGGCCCCAATCCTTTCCTGGATTTAAAGGAAGGGGCACGGTGTGCCGTTCAAAACTGAAGCCAATGTGCTTATTTGTAATTGAAAGCACTTCGGAGGAGAGTGCTTGGGTTCACAGGGATTTGCATCGGGTACTTCAGCCCAAGATGAATTCCCTGCTCTGAAATGACTGCGCATTACGCAGGCGAGATCCAATCAAGAGGCGCATTTGCTGCGCAGACTTTAGCCGAGGGTCAAAAATGCCTGCGTGGTCGGGGATAATTCCTTCCCTGCGATGCAACCTGAACTCATGGGATAAAATGGCCCGAAATCCAAACGCTGCAGCTTATAACCAGTTTTGGAATCAGGCTGTCCAATGCAAGAGAAGCGCTGAGCTCATTTTAACAGACAGCTCAGCGGCACTTAGTTCGGAGCAGCCGCTCGCAGGATCGCGGCGCACCAGTTCCCCGGTCAAATCGCATTTCTGGCCACCTGGCTGAAAAGATGATTGGGTTTCAACCGTTTTGTCCCATTGATATCTTATATGAACGAAAGTTAAAAGGAAATAAACTCCAACGGTTTGTGCTTAGCGCGTGTATATAACCAAACCAAACCTGCAAGCGGCAACGAAGTCCCAGTGACCCAGAAGAAACAACCTTCGGTATAATTGGACATTTTGGGTGGGTGGGAATTGGCTACTTTGTAGTTGTGGTCAAAGGGAGTGCTCCAAAAGTACGCAACACTTTCGGATCTTTCCAACTCCGTTCCTTATTGCTGCGCCCTCCCTCGAAGGTGGTGCCAGCGCTGGGCAAAAGCCCAAATCTGCCCGTTTTCGGCGCGCGCCTTTGGAGGGTGCGTGCGGATGGGTTTGTGCGGGTGCGCAGGAAATTTTCGTCTGCTGCGACTTGCGGCTCGATCCCCCAGCCCAGCTGCTTGCCAGACCTCTCCGGGGAGGCGGTTTGGGATCCTAAGGGCCCGCGCGGAGTCAGCTCCTCTTTCACCGCTTAGCCAAGGCAGTTTGGGAGAAAGGGCAGGAGCCGTTAAAACTAAAGGAACCAGATTCAATCCACGAAAAGCAGGGATCATTCTCTCCTGCAAGGCGAAAATGGCCCCCAAAGCAGGATGTGTTTTCTTTTTTCTTTTTTTCCAGGTTAAGGGGGATTTAAAAACAAAAAAAGGAGGCAACCTCAACCCGCTCCTCATCCATTCTCCAGTCAACCTCCGCTTCTAATGACCCGCAAAGCCCCATGGATATCAATGGGAGGGTCCCCATTGACTTCAACAGAATGACGGTCGCGCCCGAAATCAAGAGCTCTTCGTTTTCTTTAAGGAGCACTTATGGCAACTTTTTCGCTTGTCTTCATTCTGCTTTTTTAAGGCTCTTTTCTCCCCCCCCCCGCCCCCCTGCCCCTCAAAACGGTGTCTGTTTAAACTATTTTAAGTTTTGCTTTGGAAAGACAGATATATGTGTGCGTGTGTGCTTGTTTTTAAGGGAAAAGAAATGCCAGACAATTAAGATATCTTTCTTTCTTTTAAAATGAGACTTGGAAAAAAAAGAAGCAGCTTATAAAGGAATGAACTCAATAGCCCGTTCCACCTTCTAGACCTAATCCGTAAGAAAAAGCGAGTGAATATGCTGTCGCTATTATCCTATAGCTAGACCATCTGACGCTGGGTATAGGATTTGTTTTCCAGGAAAGGGGAAAAAAACGGGGGGGGGATAAAAGACGCTGGGAAATAAAATCATTCCTTAGTTTCTTAGTGTCTTAATCAGTGAGGCGGAAAACTAGCAGAGAGGGGGGAAAGAAAGAAAGATAGCAAACCGATTGCGGCACCTTTCAGCTGTGGAGCTGGGATCAAAACATTGTAGCATCTGTTGAAAGAGAAAGTGTCTAAATCCTATAGAAGGCTTTAGTCTTATAAGGAGGGGCGAGAGGAGGCGGAGGGGGGGGGAGATAAGAAACAGTGTCTCAGTGATCCCTAAAACCGCTAAATCACTGGAGAATTTCTCCCGGATAGAGATGTCTCTTTTTGTTCTGTCAGCCCTCATGTATCCATTATTTTATTCACTGCTGCATGGCGTTTATCAGATTGAGACCATATTTGTCCCCCTCTGAGACCTAACCTTGCCTTATGCTTTTGGAGTAATGGACTCTTAAAATCCAGGAACACAGAGGCAGCCCGGCGAGGGGGGGCACCCGAGTCCCCTGCATGAATATTCCAGGGCAGAGGCATTTTATTAATTTTAATTTAGTGGTGCAAAGGCTTTAAGTGCGCGTCTCTCTCTCCTCTTCTCCCCCCCCCGCCCCAGCGCCTTAGCCAAGGCCTCTACGCCCCCTCCCCCGCTTTCCTCGTCCACATTTTTTTGAGGTTGACTCAGGGCCAAGAATATAGTAGCAGGCCCCCATCCGCAAGCTTTATTCCCATTCATTTGTTTTAACTATATGGGAACTGGTGATTAATGGGGGTCTCTGAAACCCTGGCACCCAGATCCTATACACGTTGACTGGAAGAAGAAGAAGAAGAAGAAGAAGAAGAAGAAGAAGAAGAAGAAGAAGAAGAAGAAGAAGAAGAAGAAGAAGAAGAAGAAGAAGAAGAAGAAGAAGAAGAGACGACCAGTGGGCCTTACTTCCATGTAAACGTGCTCTTTAGGGAGAGCAGCTGAATACGCTCGGGGGGAAACGATCTAGCCACAGTTTAGGACTTTTGAGACTGGAGTCCCATGGGCGTTTAATGGGAGGCTGGACTCATTGTCTAAAACGGGGCTTTTCTTCTGAGTAAACCTCTTACCAGAAGATCTCACTGGTGTAAATGGGATGGATTGATCCGCGCGCTCCCATTAAAACCGGTGGGATTTACAAGGGCTTAACTACAGTGGCTGAATCCTGCCCCTCGTCTCCCTCCACGGGCCCCAGCCAAATACTGCCTGAAATCCAGCACAAAAACCGAAAACAAAATTTTGTGGATCCAGCGCTCCTGGCTGGGGAATTTAGAGAGCAAACTCGCGCCCTGTCCCGCAACCAATTAATCTTTAACCCCCAAGGATCTCCTCAGTTTTTCTGCGGGGGAAGGTGTGTGCTTCGGTTTAAAATTAAAATTTTAAAGGATGAGGGTGGGCGCTGCTGTTTCAGGAAACTATAGAGGAATAAGACACCGCGTCTTTTCCGAAAGGGCTTCACGCCCGAGTCCCAATGACTTCTGCGACAGATCTTACTTCCTTTCAAAACAACAACAACATCTGGGAAGGGAGAGAATCCCGATTTTAAAATAACTAAATACGCGCCTGGCGATGAAATGTACCCTCGGTTCAGATATTACAGCAACGGACTTCAAGCAACCTGTTATCTCACTGCTGCAAACACGCCCGCACCAACCGGGGTGGGTTGGTGTGGAGGAAGAAATATTGAGCCCAACAAACTGAGGGTGAGATATCAAAATTGGACCTTCCGACACCCAGAGAGAGAGAGTTTCTTGACTCCCCCCCCCGCCCCCGTTTACCCTTGGTGGGGCTGCATATGTTCCTAGCCCTGGTTTATGACAATGATCCGCTTTGGTATAATATCCGATATAACATTCAAATAAAGCCAAATTTCCCAGCTTCTTGTGATCAGGCTCTCTTCTTCCCTCTCTGATGAGATCTGAAGTATCTGGAACCCTATTAACTGTCAACGATCTCTCCCACTCTCTCACACACACTTCGACGATCTGTAGCCTATAAGTATGATCCATTTAAATAATCATCTTATTTGGGGTTGTGACTTGTAGGTTGCGAGTCAGGGCGAGCTAATCTGCGCCTGTGTGCTCCCCCTGATCCTGACAGCAAGTCCCATCCATCTTAGAAGGGCTAAGGTTGCTATTCTAGAACATAGGAGGTCAGAGAAGCCAGTGTTAGGTGGCTTTAGCGGGGTTGACTAAAGGTTGGGATGCAAGTTCCATTGGAGCCATTCTTAGCCTCGGGCTGTTTAGGGCCCTAGCCTGAGGGCCGGATCCTTACATCAGCAATCTTACAACCGAATCCGCAGAAATCCTGTGGATTGCAGTTCAACGTGTTTCCCAGCTAGGATGCTGAGTTTTGCAGCTAGCTAGACCCTGACTTGGGACTTTGTAAATAATTTTGATCTTCTTCCGGGCAAATGCGCCCAGGATCGTGGCACTGTCAGCCTGAGATTAGACGTCGTGGGGTTTAACTGCAGAGTTAACACACAATCAGGAAAATTCCCCGTGCAAGACCCTCGACGAGCCTGGGGCTGCCCTAGCTCTCTTCCTTATTAATTTCAGTCCAGGGTGGATCGTGCTCGAGGCCGTGGGCCATAGCAAAAAAACGAGCCGGGATGCCAGTGTTGAGACTCTCCTAGCTTTAAAAGTCCGAGTTATACACACAAAGAAAAAAGAAAGGCCGATTTAGCCTTTCTGATATTCAGGACTGATTTAAATCGGTTGGAATCCGAATTCTTCCATTGCTCTGCAGGAACTGTGAGTGAATCTTTGCGCCTGGGACCATCTAAGTTATATATAACGCGGCCTATAGAGGCATGCAGTTTACAGTTCAGGTAAGGGGAAGGCGATTCCTTCATATCGCTGTTACTCAGATCAGCTGAACAGCTGGCTTTAGGCGCCGTTCAACAACCACCCCCCGCCTACCCTCTGTCCGCATCCTGAAGCGAAGCTCAGGCGCAGGTTCCTCACGCGGCCATCCTCAATGGAAGGGCCCTTCCTCGCTTTGCTTCGCGTGTCCCTCTCCTTACTCCAGAACTTGGCAGCTCTAATGAATTGGAAAGACCTGGGTGCTGCTTTAGAGTCCCAGAGCCCGATGTCTAGTTCTGGAATAAGCCACTAAAAGTCCGGTGGCACTTTGAAAGACTCATATGTTTCATGGCCTCCGTGACTCAGAACAAGACCCAGGGCAACTGATGCCACCACAAACAGGCTTGAAGGTACTACAAGGCTCTTCTTGATTGGGCTTGTTTTTCGCTCCTTTACACCACATGGACGCCACTCTCCCTTTGGAAGAGGTCGGCAATATGTGGTCTTAAAGACCTGGGTGCCGGATCAGGTCTCCCTAACCCTTCCATCCCTCCCAGGGGCGCACCTACCCAGCCACTCAGAGCACCATTCTGAAAAAGGATGGTTCATTGAAGTCAGTGGAACTCAGTTCCAACTAAGTGTGGTTAGTTAGGACTGAAGTGTCAAAGGTGCTAACCGGCGGGTGGGGGTGGGGTGGGGGTCTCAGTGAGCAGGCTGGCTCCCCGTCATCCTCCAGCCCCACGGCATTCTTCCTCCCCAATGGGAGATCTGAGAGTTGGGACGGTAATAGGATGCCCCGAAGCTCTTGTCTTTCCAGGGTCCCTCCTAGACTGCTCCCTTCTCTTAAAACTGACATGTCTAATTGGCAAGCGGAGCCATATCGTGTCCAGAGGTCTCCTGTGGAACATTTCTACAGCTGTCTCCTTCAACTAGACGCTTATTCATGTCGCCTTAATGAGAAACAAAACGATCTCTAATGAGCAATTACATAGCGACAGAATTGTTCCCATAACAAATTCTTGCGTGTGACAGAAACATCCTTTGTACCAGATATTCCGCATATTGTTACTGATTTCTTTCTTTTCTTTCTCTCTCTTTCTCTCTCTCGTATCTTAACCTCCTTTTCGGGATGGAAAGAAAAAAATCAGGTTGTTGGGGAGACACCTCTCCCGAGAGACTGACCAGAGCCAGAGAAAGGTCTCGTGGCCCACCGAGAGGCCGCCTTGGCAAACAAAAACAAACCCGTCGCGATTATTACAGCATCTCCAGGAGCGAAGGAGCGCAACCCGCCCCGGAGCCTCCGCATTAACCTCTCGCCATTCCCTACAACAAACACCTATTAATCTTCGGCGTAAACAGGGACCCACATTGGCCAAGTGGGAGCACGTCTAGCTGAGGAGCGAAGGCGCCCCTGGATCGGGAGCAGGCGCGCCGCCGAAAACCTATGCAGAACCAGCTCCAACCTGGAGCTTGACCTTTTCAGTGACTGCACGCAAGCACGCACGCAACCTGGAGGAAAATCCAGCCGACCCACTTCTCCTCTGCTTTTCCCGCAAAGGCTATTACGTTTGTCCTACCTTCCTAATTCCCTCTCCTACCCTTGCAAGCAAAGAAAAGACACGCCGAGATGGAAGCCGACCAGCTAACCAGAAGCCAGAAGCTTCTCTTGCTTCCTCGTCCATCTTTCTAGGTGTTTCCTCCACAGAGTCACAAAATTTGTCAATTACCCTGAAAGCGCAATCGGACACAAGGGTGTTTTCCTCGCATTCCGTCAGCGCTGGAGCGTCTCAGACTCTAAGGAGAGGGTGGCGTGGTCTTTGGTCTGGTTTGTAAACTACGTAAAGCCCATTTTTAATCATGTGCGCGTGTGCTTATAGGGAGTTTTTCGATCCAATGTGTGTCCAAAGGAAAGGGTAGGGTTGAAGGCTGCCAAAAAGATCCGGTTTAAAATAAAGCTGCTGCCTTTCAAACGCCTCTCCCACCTGTTGCCCTCCTGAGCATTCACACGACACCCAGCCACCCACCCCCACCCCACCGCTGACCATCTCGAGATAAAGGAGGAGGAGGAGGAGGAGGAGATTGCCGCGGAGGTGGAGCCACGAGGCAGACCAGCGTGTCGAGCTTTACCACTTTGGACTTTGATGGGTCATTAGAAAAATCGGATTGATCAGGGTGGGGTGGGGGGAGGGAGAAGAGGAAGAAGAGGAGGAGGAGGAGGCTTGCTCTTTCTCTCTCTTCTGCTTACCTTGCGTTGGCTGTCCTGGCACGGAGGTCCCCGGGTACCACCCCGGCCTCGTGCCCCACGTCCCGGTCTGCCCGTTCAGCATCCTTAGCTTGTCATACATTCCATCTGCCCCCATCTGTTGCTTTTCGCTAGCCAGGTTGCGGAGGACTCTGTTGATCGAAGATACCTGAAAAGGAAGCGACATTCAACGCGATGGTAGCAAGGAGAGGAGCCGCTTTGGAAACAAAGCGGCGACAACAGCAGGAGCAACCCCCCCTCCCCCACCCGCTGACCACAGATCTCTAGAACCACTGGGACGTTGCTGTCAGTCCCAGAGGGTGTGTGTGTGTGGATTGTGTGTGCGTAAGAGGACTTAAAAAAAAGAAAACCCAGCCCCCAAATTTATTTACAAAGAAACCATTCCCACCGATTTCAATGGGAGTCGCTTCCAAACAGGCCACCGATCGAAACCATCGCGACCCTTTTGCGCGACTGCTGACTGCAGCACGACTACTCTGTAGCAAATGGGCTGTGAGAATGGCAGCCGGCTCGCGTGTTCAGCAGGGCAAGCGAGGCGGGAGGTGAGAGGGCTGCGGTCGCCCTTGAAAGCCAGGACGTGTCCCCTGCAATACGCGGGGTTCTCTCGCCAGCCAACGCGTTTAGAGCAGCAATCCTCTGAAAACTATTTAGGGACTTAAGTAGGTTGTGCTCAGCAGAGTTCCTTCTTCGGGAGAACTGCACCTTATGGAAAACGCACAACCCGGGCAGAAATGCTCTGTGTTTTTCAACCTAGAAATAAACCCCCCCCCATTGCTTTGCACATTCATAATTCGCTCGAGGAGAGTTCCCAGTTGGTCCACCACCCTGGGGCGGGGTATTTAGCCTCCCAAAGCCACCTTGGTTTTCGGAGCCCTGTTAGCTCAAAAGCCAAGGATGAGTCCTGAGCATTTTTTAAGGGCACCCATAAGTTATTTGTGCCAAATGTTGCCCTTCCCCAAGGGCGGGGGAGGGAGAAATTGCGGGGGGAGGGGCTCCTTCGTGCTAGAAGATCAAAGAGAAGGGGGAGTTAGCGACAGGTCTCCTGCTATTGTTCTAGGTCAGAGAGAGAAAGGATTTATTGATGAACTTACGCTGGGTATATTATCGTTGGTACAGACCCCCTCCGATAGTAATCTGTCTCGGATCTCCCAAGCAAAGATGGAGGGGCACTCCCGTTTATACTGTGCTATTTTGCTTACAACTTCTGGAGTCGCTACTCTCGGTTTGCTACCTCCGATTGCCCGCGGTCGGATGGAGCCAGTTTCGTAATACCTCCCCAGAATTTTACTCACACAGCCATTCGACACCTGCATCAGGGAAGCGGACAGAAAATCACATTATTAATAATTTCAAGACAAAAATAAAATTGTTTAAGTATGCATTAAACAATGACAAGCTTACGTTTTGATTGTCCAGCACTTGGACTTTTGCATCTGCATGGGTCTATAACACAAAAATATACCTTAAATGGTATGAGAACTTACTTAGAGAGGTTTTTCTTTTCTTTTTCTTTCTTTTTCTTTTAAAAAATATTACATTTGTGGCCCTACACGCTACAAAGGTGAGATTTTTTTATTTTTTTATTTAAAACCCACTTTGAAGGGGGAGGGGGATAAAAACTGGAGAAAAATGTCAGATATTGGAAGAAATGTTAATATAGACATCATCAGCTCAGTTTCCAAAATACTCAGATTTCGGGAAGAGGGGAGGATTGGGAAGGTGTGGGTGGATTATAATACGGGAATGATACTGTATCCCTAAGCCAAATCCCCGGCCAAATCGTTTTCTCATGAGCTTCTAGGGATAAACAGGCAGCAATTTCAAAAGAAACCAGCGTTGCTTATTGCTTATTCACATATACATATATATATATACATACATACATAAATTTGCATGCAGAAACTTTCAGTTACATGGAGGGGGAAGCGGACAGTTTAACACCCCCCTGACCTGCACACGCTTGCTTGGAAAGAAGTCCCTTAACCAATCGGGGGGCTCTGCCTTCCAAAGAAGCGTCCTTAGGATCGGGCGCATTGCATCGGTCAGGTCACTCCAGCCAACTAATATTCGCCAATAGAGTACAGGCGTACATATGGAAATAAGGCATATCAGGTTGTCAAACAGCCATTGACTTAAGGAAAAAATAGATAGCTCTATCCCCGTGGTTTGGAGAAGCAGATTGATGGTGATTTAATTTTTTAAAGAATCCTTCTCTCTGCCCCTCCCCCCGCCCCAAATAGGCTGGAGAGGGAAGGTTGCAGCTACAGAATAATACCCTTCCCTCACCCACCCACCCACCCCCAGGATAGGCTGCGTCCGGTTTTTTGTTTTTGATTTGTTTTGCTTTGGTTTGTTCCTTCCTTCCCCAAGCCAGGCTGGCGTGGGGTTGCTGGAGCTGGGAAGGCGAGGCGCATTTTCACCTGCAGGATTCGGGAGATGTCACACGGCCGAGCCCCGCTGTGGGCGAGTTCCACGATTTTCTGTCGGGTTGAATCTGGCAGCGGCCGACCGTTGACAAACACGCCGCCGAGCTGGTTGACGCCGCTGTGACCTGCGTGGTGGGGGGAGGAAAACAAGGACAATGGAAGCCTCGGCTACCTGAGCTGGAGAAGGACGACCTGGGGCGCCCCAGCTCCCTCCTCCCCGGTCAGGTTGCTGCTGCTGCTGAGACAGAGAGTGGGGGGGGGACAGGGGAAAGGGGTCGGGATGGGGGGTCGGTGGGGAACAGCGAGATCAACAACCAAACAACCCAAATCAGGCGCTTTTCTGGTTTCTGCTTTGGAGTTGGCAAAGAGAAAAGCCCCACTTAGCGCGGGCACAGGCGAGCCAGACCTATGGCTGTGGATCTCAGGTATGAAGACTGTACACAAACACACAAAAGATGCACACACCTCCCTAGGCAAAATCACTGCAGCCAAGTAGCCACCGATACTCCAACAACCATCTATTTTACCAGTTGCAAAGCACGTTCTATACAGGAAAGTCATTCATTCATAGATAGATATAGATAGATATGCATATGATCATCAAAGGAAAATTCCACCACCACAAAGACTTTCTCCCCTTTGAACTGGTCTCCTTCCCTTCCTCCCCCCCCCAAATCCTTCGCCATCCCCCCTTCTAAGCTCGACGCTGACTCCTCTCTAAGGCTCCATTCACGGTCCCAGCTCTGCCTCTCAAGCCCAGAAGAGCAACATTTGGTTACACACTTTCACTCAGAGACATCCTTTCAGCAGCCTTGGCACCAGCCGGCGAGTGAAGGGCACACAGCCGACTGTGGGGGAAAGGGGGTGGCTGGGGGTGGGGTGAAGGGAAAACCGTCCCCTCTCTCTTCCATGGGGCGGCGGGAGGTGGAAGATGCCTTTCGAGACCCAGCAGCGCGTGGACCCAACGCAGCCTGGAGCCCATCCACAGAAAGTCCACCTCGCCCGCCCGCCCGCCCCACCACAGAAAGCACAAAACCTGCCTGGGTCAGAAACTGGCTAAGCCAAAAACAGGCGCCTCCTGCCCTCCGTCTCTCTTAGCCCCCTAAATGCCACCAAGATCCCCACACCCCAAATTCCTGGTCTGGAAAAGAAGGCGAGGGTAAAGGGAATTGTTGCTATTATTTTAAAAGGAAAATAAATCGGAGTGGTCTATTCTGAGCTTTGCGACAGTCCCTAAGCATCCTCCTAGCTACAGCTCACTTGGCCAAAAGCAACGCGAATGGATTTCTTTAAAAAAAAAAAAAGGTTCGAAAATAATTCCCCAACCTGCAGCTTGAGGCTTTGGAGGCAAAAGGCTCCCTGGAGAAGGTCTGGTCTCTCTCTCTCTCTCTCTCTCTCCCTCTCTGTGTGTCTCTCTCTGTTCTGCTCTCCTCCTCTCTTTGGAGCCTCCTGCTAAATTGACTCCAGGAGCCTCGGCTTCTTAGCAATAAATAAGCTCCAAATATAGAAGAGGGGGAAAATATGATGAGTCTCTCTGACATTTGTCTTTAAAATAAAACTAGCTGCACGTCAAGTTTGAGCTTAATTTCTGGAAATAGGCGGAAGTCGCCCCGGATCATGCATGGAAGGCTAATTGAAAAGATCAGTTGGAGCACTTGTGGCAGACGTGTCACTTTATGACAGTGCTCCGCTTTTGAAAATTGCATCGTCACGACAAACAGGAGCATGATAAAAACGACCCTTTCTGTCCGGATTTGGGTATCACTCCGACGAGATTGAACTCTACTCGTTTCCCCTTCGAGGGGAAGCGACTTTTTAAGGTAGCCACGGGGCCAGTGCGGACACAACCGAGGGGGCGCGCTGCCTCCTCGACAGATCCGAAGTGACATGCGGTTTGGAGAGCGATGGAGGGAAGGGAGGGTGAAGGAGGAGGGGAGGGGTGCGGGGGGAAAGAGAGAGGCATGAGCGTAAACGCCACTAGAGAACCGACCAACGTGTGCGGTTTAAGAAATATAGGGGGGGGGCACATTGCACAGATCCTCTTTTTCTCTCTCTGCCTCTCGGATGGACCTGCTCATCTCCCCCCCCCCCCAAGTATGTGAAGAAGGGGAGGGAGCTTCCATCCCCGGGTCGGGGAGGTGGGGCGTCAAATGCCCCCCCCTTTAATCCTCCCAATCACCACTCCTAGGTTAGGTGGTTCTGGACACATTCCCCTTCCCCACCCCACTCAACTCCCTGTTTCTCCCCCTTACCTTCACCCTCCCTCTCCATTGCCCTGGATTGTGGAATCTGGGTTGCTCTCCTCTCCAGTCTCTCAGGGACCCGATCCAGCCTCGGCAAGCCCTTATCAGAGACCCATTGTTTTTCAGAGGGGTGGTGGGGCGGGGTGTGTGTGTTTCAGAGAGATGAGCACGTGCTTCATTCTCTCTCACGGAAACCAATGGGACTCCCAATCCCGTGGCTGTGATGTTTCCTTGGGGCCTGGGGATCCACGGAGCAAGATCTCCCTCTCCCTCTTTCACTCCCCCACACGCATGGGGCTGTGGACAGGAGGCCCTTTGCCCGCAGCCCCGCCAGAAATGTATCTCTGCGCGCGGCCCAACGAGGAATGCCAAACTCCCAAGTTGCGCGTAAAAAGGTTAAGCCTTAATCAATGCCTTAATTTCCCTGGAGAGGGGAGGCAGTTCGAGCCCAGTGGCAACGATTAAGCGCCTCGCCTTTCTGGGGCTAGGCTTCTAATAGGAAAGCATATGGTGTCAATTTGGAGCCCCGGCACCACATACACCCAGGAGTTGTTCGCACAAAGCCTGCAGAGCCGGCGGCGACCTTTGCGCAAAACCCGGGCTTCACCCGGACGGGATCTCCTCGCTCCACTCCTGCACGGGCTGAAGGGGAGGGGGAGAAAAAAGCGAGCGCCAAGGGCCGGCGTCGAGGCATCTTCTGGCCCTCCGAGGAGCACTTTGGGATGAGCTGCGCCTCAAGGCCAAGGGCCCCGGCTAGGAGAGAGGAGGGCTCGGCCTCCCTGCCTGTCTTCCTGCTCCACCCTGACCGCGTCTCTTTCTGATCAGCGCTAAGGCTTAGCAAGCCGTCGGTTTAAGAGGGATCCCAGGAGAAGGAAGCAACAGAATAAATACAGGCCTTCCCGGCCGGAAAAGTTTATCATCACGCTGCCACGGTCCGCCACGCGGAATCGCCCAAAAGAATCCCAGCACACGGGGCAATTTAAAGGCGCACTCGGTCCCCACAATCCGGTTTGTATGCTTAGAAATGCGTCCACCCCACGCCCTTCTCCCACAGTCCAGGAGCTGAGCGCAGGGCGCCAACCTTCCTGCAAGGACCCTCAAGCCCTTCCTAGGAGGAAATCGAGTGGGGCCTCGGAAAGCGGACGCCAGCAGCTCCACAGCGAACCGCCTTTTGGCTAGGGAATCCCCGCCAAGTATTTCAACGCGACTGGCGGCCAAAGGGAGACGAAAAAGGGCCGCCGCCATGAAGACCCGGCCCCGCTTACTCGGAAGAAAGTCCTGCTCTCAGAGTTCAAGGGGGCCAACTCCCAAGTAAAGAGAGTGGCAGCTAAAGAAACCCTATTAATCCCAGATCCTGCGCGAAAGGCCAGAATTAAAGCCCAGGCCGAGTCAACTAAACTCTGAAGTACCTTCGCTTTAGGAAGAAATACTTGGCCGGCTTTTGACTTCAAAGGCAGCATCTTTAAACATGACAGCAACTCGCTAAGGAGCTCAACGTTATCTCACGGAAGGGGCATTTTCTGGGCAACCAGGCCCCGTTTCATCCATCCAAAGCTATGCACTTTTAAGTCTCCCTTGGCCCCAGCAGGAGAGATTTAAGCGCGTGCTGCAACTCTCTGGTGGACTCCTGAGAACTTAAAAGTGCATCCCTTGTGATTGCTGGATTGTCCCTTAGCCCATCCGACCTCCCTACACCCAGGAAAGTCGACGGGACTTAATTTCCCAATCAAAGTCCGCGGGAAGGCGGCTGATCTGCTCGGCCAGCGCCCTAAATATATTTATTAGAAAGTCTCACAGATTTCCTTTCCACCAACACGCTGAAAATCAGCGGAGTTGCCGGTCCAGAGTGTGGGTCAAACTGCCGCAACCTTGCGAGACTTCGCTTGGAAATCCAGACAAGGCCCTCTGAGAAGGACTGCTTTGTTTGCGAGTTCTACGCAACTGACACCTTATCCCAGTGGGCTGATCCACTGTGGGTACCATCGGGCTCCCCCAAACACAAAGAGGGCTGGGGGTGTGGCGGGATTGCGCCCGGTCCCTCGGCTTCTAGAGGAATCTACGTCCAAATAAGGGCGCTTTGTGAGAAGCCGCTGTCATTGGGGATTCCCTCTCCGGAGCCGGGAGAGGATAGCAAGACAGGCCTATGTAGGGCGTCCCTCACACGCAGCCTGGCCAAACCAAGTCCTTTCGGAAGGCAATCCTACAGGAAGCAAAGGGTCTCCCTTCTATTAATTTGACATCCAAGCGCACAGCTTTATCAGGAAGCCGTTAAGCAGCTGCTGCCAAGCTGGTCTGGAAGACGATTGAAAGGGACAAAATCTCTCATCTTCCTGAGTTTTCACTAAGTCTGGTGGGTTCAGCTCCAGGGTTCGCTTCCCAGCCCAAGTCCCCGGCCCCAGACCACCACAAGTGACCAACATTTTCTCAGCCAAGGCCTTCAGTCTCGATCGCTTTGACATTCGCCCCTTTTTTGCAAATCCCCACATTCCTCCAGCCAGAAGAACACAGAACACAGTTAGTGACATGGGAACTTCTTGCGCGTTTGCAACTTGCTTGGCGGACGATTGATTGTGTGCAATCAAGGGAGGTTCTGGTTTATTAAAAAAAAAAATCCGATCGAGGCAGTTAATTCCAGTTCGAGGTCGCCTTGGCTTCGAAACATGTTGGAGCTGATTGCAATGAAACAACCACAGACAGACGCGACTGTCCTCTGAATCCGGGTTCGATGACCCTCGCTTGCCCTGCCTCCTGGACGGCGCTGGAGTTTATTATGTCAACACATCCAAACTGTGAAGCTATTGGGGGGCTCTCCCAACCTTTCCGCTTTGCCAGCCTCTACAAATCTAACAGGATGGATCTATAAGCACCCATCGCCGCAATCCTAAACACACTTGCACAAAACAGATCGATTTTTAATGAGACTGGCTTCCAGAAAAGTTGCGCTTTCTCCCGGGAGCATTAAATCGAGTTGCATTCTCGACGGACTTTCCGGCGGCCACTCAGATTTATTTCAACTGCACCACAACAAACTGCCCCCTTATTGTCACCTCTCGCGCAACCCAGTAGATCTCTCGTCCTGGGTTACAAATCTATTTAAATCCATCTACCTTTTTCGCCCCTAGGATTTTCAAATCTACACAAGCTTCCCTGCGCCAGGACTTTGCGCCAGACATTTAGGTCATCGAGACTCCATCACCGCGAGATTTTGTGAGGAGAGTCCAACCAAAAGAAGACCAAAGAAAATGATCCGATCATGTCTTCCCTTCCCATTCGGAGGACTTTCCTTACATCGACACCCTCCCCCCCCAAAAAAAATATATATCCCCAAACACTCACAAAGAGCTGATTTACTCCAGTGGCTGCAGATCCGATCCATGAGTAGTGGGATTCTGGAGTGGCCAATTCCACACTCAATGGGTGGCCAATCGCTCCAGGCGCGCCATCCACAAAGCAGCTCGCTCACGCCTCCATCTTCCCAAGCACAGTTACTTGGAAGTAAGTCCCATGGAAACGAGAAGGGCACTTACATCCCCTCCCCAAGTAAGGGTGCTTCGGATCACGGCCTCGGAAATCTCCATTCGCGGAAAGGAGCGCGTCGCTGCACCGTCTCCTGTTGCAAGAACTACCAGCTGCATCTCTCCTAGGCGAAGGACTCAAATGGCAGCCACCAAGCGCCGGGTGTTGTAACTCTCCTAAGCTTCACAGCCCCCCTTTTCCAGAAGGAGCCACTTCTGCTATGATTAGTATTTTGAAAATGTGAAATTCTATACCTTCCCCCGCCTCTCTACCCCCCCCACCCCACCCCCGCCCAGCACACACAAACACTACCCACCCCAATAATACATCGACATCCTCAAGCCGGCAGAGTCGTGAAATAAGAGGGAGAGTCACTTACTGTTCTGCATGGTGGATTGATGGAGCAAGATCCCACGTGGCTCGCGGATAAGATTCTATGAGTAATAAAACAGGCTTTAATCAGGGGAGGGAAGCTCGCGGGCAGGTAGTTGCGCTGCGCTGAGTGCCCAGGTCTCCAAGGCCTCGTTGCTTTCTGCTGGCCTCCCAAATGATGTCAAATATTTTATATATATTTATATATATTAATATATATCATGCGAAAACCCTCCCAGCCCCAGAGCCTATATAACAAAAACCTGGAAACGTTTCAACCTAGCAAGTCTAGTTCTTTAAAAAATAAATAAACATAAACCAGCCGTGGCCTTCTCCTCGGCAAACTGGCTGTGGCAGTGAGGGAAATGAGACCCAAGGAAAATGGGTCGCAGTGTGAGAAGTCTTCTAGTGATGGGGGACGGGGAAAGTAGAAGGTGCTTCCAACTTGCCTGATTTATGAGCGGACTCTCCTCTCTGGCAATTTAACGACTCACACATCTGCGTAGCGCTTGTTAAAGTCTTCCCGCTAGGATGAGGGGAAAAGTATATTAAAAGTATATTAAGCACTTTTAAATTTGCCTTCCCTAACCTCCTCCCCGCCACCCACCCCAGTCATAGCCGCCTCGCATTTGGAGGTGGGGGTGGGAAGAGAAAGGCAGTTCAAAAGATTCAGCAACACACACACACACACACACACACACACAGAGAGAGAGAGAGAGAGAGAGAGAGAGAGAGAGAAGAGAAGATGCCCAAGTTTTTTCCAGCACGCCTTACTGGAGCGCCTCCTGCCCATAGGAAAGAGTTCTGATCTGTGACACCTTTTGTGTCCGTATTTACAAACAGGACCTCGACTTTGGTTGGGCTTGGTTTCGCTGAAGGGAGCCGGCGCGACGTCCTCGCGCTGCACTTTGGGGCCAAAGGACCCTTTCTCTCAAAAGAGGTGGCCAGCAGCGTTTGTTGGCACTTTCTCTCCCTGGGTCACCCTACCCCCGCCGCAACCTCTCCAGGTTGCTTATGGGCAAATCCTGCTCTCTTGCATGGGGCGTGGGTGGGTGTGCTGGGACACTTCTTTCCCTTTTTAAACCACACATGTTTGGGAGCTACTTCACTCTGGTGATTCTTTTCGGGGCACTACTAACCATCCTCAAAAAACAAAACCCGAAGAGGGAGAGAGAAGTGGGGAGAGAGAGAAATCCACTTATTGTGATTAACTTCTTTTTTGGTCTTTAGATCTTCCCCTTTTTCACTGTACTGTGACACACGCTGTCTACCTCGCCTCAGTGCTTTAAAAAGTAAGGCCAGGAGGGGGTGAGGGCTGGGAATACAAAGCCTCCAGAAGGCGAACAATGGCCTCCATTTTACTCCCCTACCCAAACGCCGAGCGCAAGACCCCAGCCAGGCAGCCTCCTCCGGAACGGGCCGCGGCGCAGCCTCCCAACTCCGCGTTCCCAACACCCCTCCAACTTACAAAGGAGCGGGTGGGAGGGGGGGCACACAGCGGCCTTCCTCCTCCCTTCTGTAGGGCCCGCCTTGACCCACGCAGCCTGGCCAGCCCCAAGCCCTGCCTTGGGTTGTTTTTGTTTTTAAACCGGCCTTTTGAGGAATAAGACGAGGAATAATGCAACAACAAAAGAAGTTCTGCAGTTCTTGATGTTCTGTGTTGCATGTATTTATTTATTGGGTCCCAGCGCTTTCTTTTTAGGTTCCCAGCCTAGCAGGGGGAAAATAGAAAAGTAATTTCTCGTTATAAATATCTGGAGGTAATTATGTTACTGGTGTGAGTTGTTAGGGGTTGTAAAAAGATACAACAGCGCAGTGGGGTGCTCAATTGGGGTGAGACAATTACAATAAAGAACCTATTCAAGAGGTTTTGCTTTAAAAAAAAAGAGGGGGGAGAAGACAGAGAGAGAGAGAGGAGGTAAAATAATGAAATAGTGGCAGCCTTCATTTTATTCGCCCCCAAAACCTCCCCCCTTTATTTTTTTTATTTTTTTGGAAGCTTTAAAAAATCTCTTCTCTTTCCAGGCTATAATGAATATTAATTTTATTCTTTCTACATAGAAAAAGAGGCATCTTCTTCCGGGTCCAAAATGACTCCGGTATGATTTTTTTAAAGTGCTTTTTCCCCAAAGCCATCTACGTTCTCGCAGCGTGAATGAGGCGCGCGGTGGTAAATATTTACTCCGCTTTGGAGAGGCACCTGATTAGCAGCCGAGCCAAGCGCCCTGGACCCTTCTCCGGAAAAGGCCGGTGCCTCCAGTCGCCCAGAGTTTCCAGAAGGCGCCCCTTTAACACACCAAACACGTCTGCCGGGACACACGCTTGCACGCAGGACAACCGCTCCAAGACAGAAAGACGCCGAAGCGTGAGAAGCAACGAGAGAGAGAGCCTTTTTCGCCCAGGCGCGGGGGACTGTTATTGTGAACACTTCCCAGTCTCTGCTATAGCAAATGGCGAAATGCATTTTAAGGAACTCACTTTGGCACTTATTTGGGGTGTTAACAAACAAAGACGGCTAGCTGGTTTCAGGCACCAACAAACAAACCGAGGCGTTATTCTGATGAATTCGTGACAGCAAAATTGGGGTAGGGGGGAGTGAAGAGATAAAAGAGAGAGAGAGAAAGATTTGGGCTTTTGGGCTATTTTAATTGCAAGGTGGACTGAGCTCTACAACCACCAGCAAAACCGACCCTTCTTCCCTTCCCCCACCCGGAAGCGCAATAATGGTGGAGTTTCTCCCTTTGCCAGAAAGTAGCTCCTTTTTACTGAATTTTTAAAATGAAATTATTCACAAAGAGATTCAGGTAGGCAGAGAGCAGCCTCGATCGAATACCCCGGTGAGATTACAAAACCTACGCGAAACGCAACGTCTCCCCGGTCCCGGCTAGGCCTAATCTGCAAATTCCTATTTAAATCTCCAAATCTGGATCTAATCTGATCGTCTTTGAGATTTGATCCTCCCCTCCGCTGCAAACATAATTAGCTATTAAGATGACAAACGTTTACAATCCCGGGCCGAATAAGCAAAAGATAAACGCTAATCCATTGGCGTGGAGACGTTTGCTAAAGGTCACCGGCTATAAAAATTTATTGCCAAAGACCACAATTATTATTTTAGGCCTATAAAGACGCTCAGCCTCCAGCCATAATGAATGGCTTCACTTTCTGGAAGGAACTGCTCGGTGCTCTCGACTGGGCCTGAAAAGTTTATTTGTAAGCCTGGTCGCATCAGGAGTTTCTCCCCTCGTATTTTAAACCCCTGATTTGAAGAAGCCAGTGGTTTATTATTCCCTCCCCCTAGTTAGATTAGTTTAAATAGAGTTAAAGAAAACATACAGAAGTTTATTCTTGCACTCCTGAAGCGATCACTTGTGCAGCCCTTGCCTATGCAAGTTCACTCAGAAATGCTTTTTGTTTCAGTGACGTTTATTCTCACATGAAAGTGTGCGTAAAATCTCAGCCTCAATGTATGGCAGTAGAGGTGGAAACACTGAAGGAGCGAGGAGGTGGGGAATGAACTTTTTTTGGGGTCGCCCTGCATTTTACGTGAGTCTGGGCGAAACTTCAAAACATCCACCCAACAAGGAAATGAGATTTCGAAAATCCAAAATCAAACCAAAACAACAGCAACAAAAAAAACCATTTGCTACTTTAAAAGGAAGCAGACAGCATTCTCTAGCCTAGAAACTTGTGGAGAATGGGGTGGGGGGAGCTATTGATCGCAGATTCTTTGGAGCGCAAAACTCAGGAGACTTAAACGATCTCGGAGATTTGAGTGAAGTTCTGGGGGGTGGGGTGGCAAAGAGCGCAGAGAGAGAAATGTTATTTTTCTTGTGGCTGTTTTTGTTTAAACAGTTTGTACTTCGAGCCAGGTAGTGATCAAGTTAGAAAGTTCTGCTCATTCCCAGTCTCGTCGTGGACAAGTTTGGGGAGATCTCGCGGCTGCTTGATTGAGAGTGACAGTCCTTCAGCTCCGCTCAGACCTTCCCGGATACAACTACTGAGACCTGACTTGGCCTAGAATGTGACTCTGTGTCGTCGTCGTCCCCCCTCCCGCCGGCCCGCGTGTCTCTCTCTTCCCCATTTCCTTAAGGTCGGTTAGTTTGAGGGGGAAAAGAGATATATAGACATAAATAAAGGGAGAAGCGAGAGTTGCCTAAACGAAAGTCCCTCATCAACACACACGCATACGCACACACAGCTTCAGCTTGACGGAGATACAAAGCAACCAGGGAAAAGAAGCGAGGGAGAAAGACGCTGAGCTTGGATGGAGCCAGCTTCCCAAGAAAGCAAGCGGCCGAGCAACGCAGTGTGGTCCATAACGCCTCCTTCACAACAACCGCAACAACAAATGCCCCTCATAGGAACCAGGTGTGATGCATTCTCGTGTGTGTGCGCGCGCTCAGATGATCCCTACAGCTTTGGCCGTCCCTATCGCACTGTGCCAAACGGAGCAAGCCTTTCGTGGGGCTCTGTCTAGCAGAAAGGCCGGGCGAGTCTGCTGCTGTTGCTATCCAAAGAGAGAGAGAGAGAGAGATGCTTTCTCAGAAAACAGGGGCGGGGTCGGTCCATGAAGGAGGAAGAGGAGGAAAAAGAAGAGGAGGAGAAAGAAGGCTGGAGCGAAAAGGACAAAGTTTGGAAGCCTTTGAGACTGGCATCTCGCTTAAGATCCTTTCCCGGAATGTAAGAAATGGTGTGTATGTGAGCGAAACAGGGGGGGGGGAGAGAAAGGGGGGGGAGAGGGAGAGACCTGTCTAAATATTAAAATGAACTGAAGCGAGGAGAAGAAACGAGCAGACTCACCTTTCTGAGGCATCCTGTCTTGTTGTCAAAGCTCCTGTCAATAGTTTTAAAAAGCGCCCCTGATTTGAAATGATGGTGCCTTAAAAAGGGTTGCCAGTAAAAGAGTTTTTCTCCACTGAAGCTGCTGGTTGTGTGATCTTGAGTTCCTGGGAAGGAGACAGAGATTGACAATAAAATGGGCTGTCACTGACTGGAGAGGGAGAAAGAAAGAGGATGTGAGCGAAGTAGGGGGGAGAGGAGGGAGGGGAGAGACAGAGCACACCTATGCTGATTGGTGATGGTTCAAGTGTATTAATGTATGTGTGCGCCTGGTCTCTGCCTCGCCTCCCCTGCTCCCCACTGGCCCATTAGCAAAGCCTGACCTCTGTCATCATCTTCCAGCAAAACACTTCCTCCCTGCGCCTGAACCAGAGCGGGAAATGAGGCTGAGCCAGGGCTCGCTTTTCAAACCCACTAATCACTCCACGCATGCAAATGCTCCGCTCGCTCCCACACAAAATATTGCTTTATGCAAAGCAACGCCATTGCCTCCTAGCTGCCGATTGGACGCTCACTCGCACTGCCTGGTTCAATTGGCCCATTTGTTTGAATATGAATGCACTGGCTTCTCTCTCTCTCTCTCCCCTGCTTCCCCCCCCACTCCCCGCTCCTCCTCGCTTAGATTCCACCGACCTCTCTCTCCCCCCTACACCCGCCCCCCCCATCTCCAGCCCTCTTTGCCCTGAGTTCCTCTTCCACCATCCCTGGGCTCAAATGCGAGGCTCCGGGACGCGCGGTGAGCGGACAGGCACCCTCCGCTAAGGTTTCGTGGTTTTTTTTGGGGGGGGGCAATGATTTCCTGGTTAGGGTTCAGTCATGTCTCCCGGCTGAACTTTTTTATTTTTTGCCTCTTTGCCTCCTTCCCCACCTCAGAGATCCCCTCTGTTCGCCCCATTTCCTCCGAGATAGGGCCTGGAGTAAATAAATAACGTCGCTCGGAAAAATAAAAACGAGGACTGCCCTTTTCTTTCCAAGGCGATCTAGGTTTGTGCGGGCGGGCGTGTGTGTGTGTGTGTGTGTGTGTGTGTGTGTGTGAGGGGTGGGATGGGAGAGACAGAAAGGGAGGGGGCGAACTATTTGCATTTAAACAGTTCGTTCCCAGCAGACAATGGAGATAAGGAAAAAATAACATTCAAATGGTAACGACATAAATATTTGGGAGACAGGCGCTTTGTCAACTGGGAATCGCCTGGAGGTAGCCAAGTCCACAGTTGGGTGTGTGGGTATTTTTCCCCTCCCCTCCCCCCTCCTTTCCTCTCTCTCCTCGAAATGTGATGGAGAAAGGAAACTCTCTCTCCCCGCTGCCTGGAAAGTGCAGAGCAAATACACACTTTACTTTGTGTATTGAGGACTTTCGTGAAGGGGCCTGAAGAGTCCTTTCCCAAACACCCAAACTTCTTCCACGTGCCGTTTGTTGACTAAGTGCTGTTGTGTTTCTCTCCCCCCCCTCCCACCTCTCTCTAGCAGACACTCCAAGGAGGGGGAGAAAGAGAGGAGGGAGGAGTGCTAAAATATCTCCACCGCAAGGGTCGGCGTGTGTGTATGTGTGTGTTGGAGAGGGGGTTTTGCGTGTTGCTCTCACCAGATTTAGCTCACTCATGTGCGCAGGGCGATTCTCTCTCTTTCCCTCCCTCCTTCCCTCTCTTTCTCTCCTGCCAGGGAAATCAGGGGCCGAAGGAAAGCAAATGACTTTGCTTCTCTGACCACACACCACCACAAGTTCATTTGTTGAATGGCGGAGTATTAAGACACACCTCAGTACACTCCAAAGCAACCCCTCCGCGCCTGCATTTAAGGTGACACTGGCAGCACCAGTTTGAGCTCAGGGTGTTCCGATCGTTTATGGCGAGTGGTCTGGGAGGCGGGGAGTGGGGAGGGGTGGGGGAGATGAACTTCTGCACAAAGAGGGAAGGGGAAAGGAGGAGAGAGGGAGGGGGCAGGGAGGTGACGGGGGGGGGGGCGAGAGGAGGAAAGAAGGCAAAAAGCCCCAGAAATTCCAAGAGGCAAAAAAGTGGGGAAGGGTTTCGGGTGGGGGTGGGTAGGACACGAACGCGCCAAGCATAAAATGAAGTCGTAGCCCCGCATACACTTGACTTCTCTTGACATGTGAAAAGTGCTAAAAGTCAGAGCTCATCAATAAAGTGGCTGGCGATTGAATGAGGGCCCTGACAACCATTGCATTCTTCAATAAAGTACAATGAGGAGACAAACGACTCTGCCAAGGAGTTTGCATGGGAGTGAAAGGACGCCTCAATAGGAGCTGGATAATGGGCTGCCAGGCCGTCATGCACTGTCATCTCCAGCCCTGCAGAGAAGCTACCGCGGCCCCTAATAGCACAAAATGGGCTCTTAAGAGACTACCGGGCGATTCCTCTCTGGGATGTGTGTGGATCTCTCTCTCTCTCTCTGTGTGTCCCCCTCCCTCTCTCCCTCCTTCTTCATCTTCTTCCAAACTCCTTCTTTCCTTCCTTCTTGTGCCAATTTGCCTTGATGCTGATTACCACTAATGCGTGGGGCTGCGCTTTTATGGGTCTTGCTTTCTATTTATTTTATTTTTTTAGGGGAAGGGGAGGAGGCTGCAGCAAAGGAAGGCTGGGATTTAAAATCAGGACTTCTCCTCGGTCCCCTCTTTTTTTCAGGCCTCCGGTTCCAAAGTTTTTGGTGTCTTTTTTGCAGCAAATGGGGAAAGAGTCAGAGAGAATTGCCCAGCCTAGCTGGGAGGGTTGAGACATTCTTCTGCAAACGCCACTCAGGAAGACCACTCTCTCACTCTCTCCCCCTCTCTCTCCCTTTCTTCTTTCCTTTGCTGATCCAGATTTTCCCCCACCCGGGCATTGCCCCCCCCATTTTTATTTGTTTCTCTATCCCACATTGCAGCCCGCATCGATAACCCAGTCCACTTCAGTTTGCTGAAGGAAAGAGATCCGGTGGGTTGGACAAATCTTTTACCTCCAGCTACAATAGTTCAGGCCTAAGGCGAGCTGCACCCCCCTCCACACTTGCTGGAAATATCCTTTTTATTTCAATGTAATCGGAGCCGAATAACTATGATGGAAAGCTGGGGTGAAAAAACCAACCACACGGGGACATTCTAATAGGATTCCCCATAAAAGGTAGGTAGGAAACTTGAGAATTCTCATAGCTGGGATGCTGCTACTGATAGAGGTGTAGGGCTCTGTGTGTGTGTGTGTGTGTGTGTGTGTGTGTGTGTGTGTGTGTGTGTATGTATGTAGTGTTTGGACGATTTTAGTTGTGTGTTTAAATTTATTATCCTTTCGTTTTGCCCTACTGTTATTTTTGAAGCGTCTCCCATACATTGGAACCCTGCTAATTTCTGCAAAGCCCCCGCTATCAATGGCTAAATCTTACACGGCAGCCCTGCTCCATTCAACTCCATGGGAACTTTGCTGTTGACTTCAGCGGGCGCAAGCTTTTTCAAAGTGCGCCAAAGGAGATCTTTGCAGAGAGATCAAAATGGGAAGAAAACATAGATTACCAAGCCAATGTCTCGCTTGCCTCGCGGGTTTCACCGCATAGAGTTGCCGCTGCGGGATAGTTTAGCAAAGTGTCTTGAAAAGACCCCGCTCCTTCAAGCTAGTCCTCTGCAAAGCTTTTTCTTTTCTTTTCTTCCTGTTGTCTGAAAAAACTCTCCCTCTTAAAAAAAAAGATCTCAAAGAGAATAAGAATAATAACAAAAATAATCCCCGAGATCCTGGGGATTTTTGCTTTGTTTAATGTGACTTCTAGTCTTCTGGAAATCAGACGAATCTTTTCTCTTTTTTTGTCCAACAAACATTTTTTTAATACTTTCCTCAAGTGGAAACGCAAAAAAGGCAAAACAACAGGGTAGAAAGGTGGGGGAAATAGAATAAAATGAAGAACTCATGACGCTTGTTTTTAGGGGGGACGGACACGTCCAGATCTTCAGGCAAATTTCATTTTTACAACCATTCAATTAGCCTTCGTTTGGATTAGCACCTCCTTATATGCTGCTCCTTCAGAATAAAGAAGCCGTAATCTTGTTGCTATTTCCCCCAGGGCACAGTGGGCCTTGCGCCCCTTCCCTCTCCACCCCCTCCCGCTAGTTTTGTTTTGTTTGTTTTTTAACTGCGGGGGGGGGGAGAGGAGGAAATAATAAGGGGAGGGAAACGGTGAATAATCTGACGTCATTGCAGAGATGGGAATGGAAGGAGAGAGGAAGCAAGTCTGGGAAGAAAGGAAGAAGGGGGGAGGAGAGAGAAAAAAGTGCCACAAAAGGTGAAGAAGAAAAAGATTGGGTGCCTCGCTTTGCTGCTGATTTATCAGGACGTTGGAGACGGGAGGCCGAGGGCAGGCGAGGGAGCCTCCGAAGCAAGGAAAGCAAAAGTTGGAAGGGAAGGAGGGGCCGAGGAGAGGGAGGGAGGGAGGGAGGAGGAGGAAGACAGGAGCGGAGCGGAGGGCCTGCATGACAATGTGCATGTGTGAAAGAGAAAGAGGAGAGAAAGAGGACAAGGCGTGTAGAATGGGGGTGTGAGAAAGGAAAGTGGGAAGACGTGGAGAGGCGAGAAAAGGGGAGGAGGGACAGAGCAGGGTGAAGTGAGAGTGTGTTTGTGCGTGTGTTTTAAAGAGCGAGGGAGAAAAGTGTAAAAATCTTGTGAGGAAAAAAACACAACTTGGGATGAGTCCTGGAGTAGAGTAAAGGAGGCGGGGCAGAGGGGGGGGAATGGGGCCAGGCGCGCTTGCTTAGGAGAAAGCGCCGTGGAAGGAAGAAGCCCGCTTCGGATCCGGCTGGGAGAACCGAGATGGAAGAAGACGCGCGCGTGGGAGATCCGGGCGAGGGGAGCAGGTTCTCACGTGCAGCGAGAGCGCACGTCGGCCAGGGAGCGACGCCCTTCGCCTTCGCTCAACTTGCTCTCGCAAGCAGCGTCTGGGGGCGAGCGCTGCCAGCGACAACCCCGGGAGCCTTTGAAATAGTACCTGCTCTCCAACGACCAGAGGGAGAAAAAGTCCTTGCCAAGTTGAGCCACAACTCGAAGGGCGCCATTTTAACTCTGGGTTGCTCTGTTTTGTTTTGTTTTTAAACAACAACACAAGTTTTTTTTTAAAAAAAAGCACGTTCTGGATTCCCCCAGGTATATACAGGTGTAAACAAAACAAAAACAGAATAAAACACGAGAAACCCCAAATTCCTCTGCCCTGTTCCTTTTTTTTTTTTTTAGTCTTTTGTCAGCAGCTTTGAACTTGAGAATTAACTTGCTTAAAGTGGCAGGCACACGATGGAGCAAGGAGGGATGAGGCCGTGGAAATGGTCGCGAGTGGGGTGGCAAACTCAAGCGTCCTTCTTGCGGGGTAAGGGATGATTACCCCCACCAGTTTTGCATGTGAAGTGGAAATGAGGAATGAGCGCGCCAGGGTAGATTGGCTGCGGGGAAAAGAAATGGCCCTTTTCTCCAGGGATTTCTCTTGACCACAGGAGGGAAAATAAGCGCTGAACGGAGAATCAAATGCATTTGATGCTCACCAGGTTGGCACCTTAGCACCTTGCCCACCAGACCTGGAGGGACCGCCGCAACCAGAGGACTTGAGAAGCAAGGGTCCGGATCCCAAGTGGATTTCTAAGTAGAGACGTGCACTCCACGTAGATTCGGAAATGTCATCGTGGATGGATGGGGCGGGGGGAAGCTTATTTACTCCCCAAAGACGCGCACCTAGGATGGCAGCTTGCGCCTTTTCTAATTTGGCAAGAACGAACACCAGACGGGCAGCAACAGCAACGAAGAGTCTTGTGGCACCTGAAAGCCAAACAGATTTATTGTGGCATAAGCTCTGTGTGGAGGGGAGCCAACCGAGTCTGATGCACGACGTGTTTGTCTGTAAACTGAGTGCTAACTGAGGATAACACTTCCTGCCTCTGAGGAAGAGGGATCTGCACCACCAAAGCTTATGCCGCGGTCCGTCTGTTAGGCTTTATTTCGAAGGTGCCACTTCCTGTTTTTACTACAACAGAGTCTGGCTCATTCTTCTGAGCGTCTGGTGGATTCAGAGTGGATTGATCAGAAATGTCTTGAGCAGTTACGAATACTCTTGCGGTGGGAAATAACTCGAAGGATTCCGGTTTATATCTTTTCTTTTTCTTTTCTTTTTGGGACGGAATGGGGAGAATATGATTAATTCTCCCTCGCCTTATGTACCAATGTCAGGTGTATTAGTCACTCTGCCTTTGGATTAAACTTACTGTATCTTTGCCTTGAATTGTGTGTGTGTGTGTGTGTGTGTGAAGGGCACAGGTGTTCAGTAAGTGGATTCAAAATCACTCGGAAAGTTAATATTAAGATGAGAGAATTACAACTGAAAAATTATAATCCTTTGCAATTTAACCCCCCCAAAAAAACCCTTACACCCCCTTAAAAGAAACAGCAAACATCTATACTACTTTCTCGCAGAAAGCAAACATATCAAGGAAATGTGACTAAATTAGATTCATTCTCCCGATACTGCCATTGATTGCAGAAGTAGGTATTTATTTGTCAGGGACAAATAATAATAAAAAAATTCTCCTCTTCTCCGCTTCCTTAGGAACAGGAGTCACTCAGTTCAGTGCTCCTGGATCGTCTTGTTGTATTAATATCTGGCTCGCGAACCTCCTTTTTTTAATACCCAGAAAAATGCTTAAAGTCCTCTTGTCCACTTCAGTCTCCCACTGAAGAGATACACAAACCCTGACGTGTTAGACTACAATGCGTTTGCCTCCCGGACACCGAATGCCGAGTCGGATATGGAGAAAGAGCGCTTGAAACCTCTAATGCGCCGGACATTGAGTTAAATGGAGCTTTGGCGAGTTTAGGAGCAATCTGCAAAAAGTTTGGAATCGATTTAACCTCTTTTACGTCGGGCGTTTTGCAAGAAGGCGCAACCTTTTGTGTCGAAGGATTAAAAAAAAATAAAGGCGAAGGGGAGGGGACAAGAAAAGGACTCAATTTATGGACTCTGAAAGAAAAGGCAACATCCATGTCCCCCCCCCCCTCCTTCATCCAGGAAAGGTTTGATATTTATCTTGGTCTGGTAGATTTTTCGAAGGGACTTGCTGGAAAAGTCTCCCCCCCAAAAAAAAGGGGTGGAAGGGAGCGGGGACTCGCCAGCAAAGCGCATCCTGACGGGCTTTTTAAACACTATTGATTGGGACAAGCTGTTCCAAACCCCAGTAACACTTAATCTGCCTGTTAATCAAGGCGCTAAGGAGCTCAATGCGAGTTTTATTAGCGACTAGAGAACACAGCGGCAGAAAGGATCAAAAGACTCGCCCCCTTGATATTTGTCAAGCCAGACTCCCCCCCCAAAAAATATATTTTCAATTACAGAGCAATTCTTAGCTTATCATCGCCGCCTAACAGAAACACGCAGATGGTTTCACAAACGCTGCCAGAGAAACAACTGCAGCAAAGGCAGCGAGACCCTCAGAACTGCAGCCTCCGAGAACCCCACGCCGGACCCAGCCCGGCACTGCGCGCCTAGAAAGGAGCACTGGCTCACCTCAAAGCGAAACCAGTGTCGTTATTTCTCTCTGTCTCCCCCGCTGCCTTTCTATTTACCACCGGAATTCGAGAGAGAGTGGAAGGCAGCACCTGAAAAGCCTATGCCAATTTAGACCATCCTTTCCTTCCTCACTTTTTTCTCTCCCCCCCCCTCCTGTGCCTGTTTGCGAACGAGGAACTTTGGAGTGGGTTTGCAGTCAAAACGGACGGGAAGAATTTGGTATGTTCCTCAACACCACCTCACTCAGATTTTTTTAAATTAAAAAAATATTTTAATTTTTTTAAAAAAAATTATCCTGAAGGGGAAAAGTTGAATGGGGGGGTGGTTCTTTTTTTAAAAATGGACTGGCCCGACGCTCAAGCCCGTCCCTCCCCTCGAGCTGAGTTTCAATTAAGGTAAAGGTGGAGAAATATTATCCCGTCTGCGAAAATCAACATTTTGATCTTGTCATTTTTAATGCGAACCGATGGTGCTGGATGTCAACGAGATATGCGTATAAAAGACTATGTGGTCAGAGGTAATTATGTCACAGCTTTTTCTCGTCGTGACAGCTGGATAAACACAATCTCCAATAAACATCTCTAATTAGGGAGGAGGACCTGCGAGGCTGGGTGTCTGATTTATTACTCACCCAGAATGTCCATTTACCGGTGGAGATTAAAGTGGACTCCCCCCCCTTTTTTTTTTTTGGTGCCAAAGCACCTTAAGGGATTTGGTGCAGGAGCTGAGGGGCTGGGAAGGCGAAGTCTTACAGCTTGATCCAGGAGAGTGAATGGAAAAGAGAGAAAGAGAGAGGGAGGGAGGGGAGAGCCATTATCCTACTAATCCCTTTTTTCTAATTAAGTACAAAGAAGAAGAAGGAGAAGGAAGAATCTAAAACACAATTTACCTGCCTTGGGCTGCAATCCTAAACGCCCTTCTATTTCCAGCTGCTTGAATTTACTCTCAAGCAACCGTGCGCGCAGGATACCGAGTTTTACTTCTCAGGAAGTGCGGCGCGGACTTCTCCCGGCGCAACTCAAGCTCTGTTTACTCACGAGTAAGTCCAATCGGTTGAAACAGAACTTTTCCTTACAAATAATGGGTGCCTAAGACTGGAGTCTCGATTGTGCGGCTGAAGTTGCGTTTCTGAACTTAAATGCACCGTACAATTCCCCTTGCTTTCTCTTCCACTAACAAACCAACCATCCAGAGTTAAGCAAAAACAAAAACACAACGAGAGGCTCCACCAGGCACCAACCAGGGTATTTCTGCACACCTTTTCAGACGTTCGAGCAACCTAATGGAAAAGAAAACCATCACCACGCCGCAACCTCAAAGGAAGTTAAACGCGCGGATCCAGGAAACAGTTCCCAAAGCAGAAAGTTTTTGAGACAGTTAACCTGACGGCAACAGATGACAGGCGCAACAGAAAAACAGCAATCTCTTCTCTCTCCACCCCTACATTTTATGCAGACCAGGAATACTTAGCAGTATACTTCTACATACAGCCTAGCATTAAACACATCACCTGGAAACAAATCCTATGGATTTCTAAGGGACTGCCTTGAAAACACAGACGTTTCCGGCTAAGGCCCCAAAGCTCCTTTACTCCGGAGTAAGTCTTACTGGGCCGATTTACCTGTGCTTAGAAAGGAACGTCAGTTTTAACTCCAACGGAAGACGTATCAATTTCGGATTTCGGCTGAGGTGGTTTGTGGATCGGGCGCGAAAAAGCGCGCTTCGCAGGTTGCCTTAGTAAAGGACTATTTACCCCCTCCCTCTCACTCTTTCTTTGGTACAGCTTCAGTCTGCGAACAATGATCTAGCCGAGACATTACCTTGCTGGAAACGTGGGGACGCCCCAGGGTTGGTGGGTGCCCCAACGGACAGCCCCTCCCGGCTCGCCTAAGCGCAGAAGTCGCCGCGAGCAGAGCCATCCAGGACGGAGAGGGAGGGGTGTGGATATGCGCCGGTTCACAAACAGACCCCAGTTGGCAAGTGGTTACCAGGCACGTGAGTGAACTGACCGGAGAGTGGAGCAGGACTCCAGGTCAGACTGGGGGAAGGAAAAAAACAAAAAACTAGCCCCAAACTCCGCAAAACCCCGAAAGATCCACCGGACCCGAGGATCTGTCTGCGCCAAACGCCCCCGACGTCTCTGCGTTGCAGAGTCCCTTCTGAAGTGCCCAGAAGCTCAAGGCGAGCCGGGCGTGCGTAATCCGAAGCCCCTTTTCGTTCTACCTCAGTGGAAATAGTTAATTATTAGGTCTTCCCAAGGAAAGCTCAAATCACACGGTCTGGGGATTGAAAATGCTACCCAAGTATGCGAGCCGCATTCTTTCGTTCCCTTGCCTGAACTTCGGGAGCGCCCTAGCGAGGGCTGGAGGCCGTGGGCGAGGTCAAGGACCAACTTCTTCCTCTTCTCTCAACACCCCCCCCCCCCGCGCACCCACCCCATGCCTCTCCCCACACATCCCCAAACCGGTGGCAGCGAGCACATGAGCCGGGTTTTCCATACAAGGCATTTGTATGGTTGTCCAAGCGGGGAGAGGTCAGGGCTGCTCCAAGCCTCGCGTCTGCCTAGCCACGCCAAAGTCCAACTCTCTGCCCCGCGCCCTCTTCCTCCCTCCCACCTGTTGGCACTGCGCTTTCTGTGCGCGCCCCGTCGAACCTGGCAGTTGGTCACGAGCCAGCGTGACCCCCTTTTATGCCGCTTGTAATTAACACTCCGCACAAGGCTGGGAGAGATGGGAGGGGGGCGGAAATAAGAGTTTAAAAAATAAATAAATCCTGGGCTTGGTAATGGAAACGAGGAGGTCAGAGAGAGAGAAAGAACGGGAAAGAAAGGAAGGAAGAAATCTAGACCAGGCAGAGAAGGGGAGAAACAAACGCAGCGGCAATTGTTTCAGGAGGAATCCGGCAACTCCCCCCGACGCCTGGATAAAGAGCATCAAATGTTTACCTGTTAGAGAGAGGGCAGGCAGAGGCTCATGATCCGCGGGTTCCCAATTGCGCCTCTGAGAGTCGGTAACTGGCAGGTTTGATCGCCAATTTCTACATAAGAATCTGCCACACAGTTTAAATGTCAACGACAATAAAAAAGAGGGTGCCTGGCTTTGCACTAACTTTCCCTTAATATCAGCGCCAGCGCCTCTCCTATTGGCTGGGCTGCCCCGGTGACGTCACGGCGGACAGTAGTTAGAGCTGAGCTCATAAGAAATTTTAGACAACAAGAAGCTCACCGGGGCCGGGAGATAATTCACCTTCCCGTGACCACTGGAGGGGCTGAGAGGCGAGGCGCACGTGGACGTGGGCCAGCCATGCTGGCTTGTTCGCTCCTGCCTGCCTGCCTACCTCTATCCATCCATCCAAAAAAGAAAAAGAAATAGGTTTCATTATAGTCAGATCCCACTACCAAACAAGGTCCTCCTGGCTGATCCATAGAAGCGACTCTACCATAATATGTGGTCTGTGGAGTGTTGTCCAGAGGACGGCCCTTGTAATAATAATAATAATAATAATAATAATAATAATAATAATAATAATAATAATAATGCTTTAAAAAAAACATCACAGCGATGATTTGTGATTCTGAGTGTTCTTTTGCCTTTGTCTTCCTCTTGGATCCTCATACTACGACTGCCCTTCCCTTCCCCCCGGTCTTTCACCCGCACAAAAGGAAGATCTTTTCTCCTTTTTCTTTCCTTCTTGTGTATACAGGAAAATCCGCAGATTTAATTATGACGCAGCATCTTCGGCACGGCGGACGCAGAGATGTCCCTGGACTTTTGTGTGTGTGTGTGTGTGTGTGTGTGTGTGTGAAGTTCTGGAGAAGAGCTACCAGGTGTAGCAGAGCCGCCGACTCTCAGTGACCGTCCAAAGTCGAAGCCTGGGTCTTTCTACCTGAGGCTCCAGATCACACACACAAAACCCCCACTCTGCCCACGGCTCAGTTATCAATAAAATCAACCTTTATCACTTGGTTCCTAGGTTTCTGTTTATGGAAGGGCTCCAGTCAGGGGGAAAATCCAATTTGTACTTTTGGATGGCTACCTGGGTTGTAGCACTGGCGAAGAGGAGGCTTATACTGTATATTCGCACCCAAGCAACCGATGCTGCCTTCAGAGGGGTCTGGATCTAAATTTTATTTTATTTTATAAGTGTGTAAAGCTGTCCAGTTATTAAAAGTCGATCATTAAAACAAATTGGAAGAGAAATTCAAACTGCGCGTGGACTTTCACTTCGAATCACTGAACACCTCAAACACCGAGGTGTGAGAGGTGAGTTGATATTTTGTGGAGGTTTTCCTCCAAGCGCGATTCAGAAGAGGACCAGCGGATCCTTTCTCTCTCTCTCTTCTCCCCTCCCCACCTTTCTCTAATCAATTTTTAAAACGAAGGGCGTTCGTTTTAAAGTTAAGCCCCAAGTTAAGTGCCGCTTATTTCAATGGAAGAATGGCGCCCTCGCTCATCTCTCCTTCCCACAGAAATGAATGGGACTTAGAAGACCATAGCGCTGCTTTTCATTTCAGAGGGCTGACACAACCTTTACACAGAGACCAGGCCGCTTCGCACTTTTTTGGCCCAGAGGGTGGTGTTAGAATAATCATCAACATCTTGCTTTAAGGCCCCTTTCTTACAACGGCACCGAACATGTCCCCTTTTCCTCAAAGTTCTGGAGAAAACGAAGTTTTCTCTAGGCAGCTAATAGTGTTCCCTCGTCCAGCAATGTTTTCTGAAGGGCAGGGAAGCTACCCCCTGCTCACACCTTTGAGGACACAATCCACTGGATAGTTCTCCTGAGTAAACAATGGGGGTTGGGACAGTGAGTTATGTTCCGAAGAAACCCACGAGATTTAAGTGATGGGGAAAACGGTGGAGATCTTCTTTCCTTTGAAACCGGGGCAGAATTCTCTCTGCAGGCAACGTCAAGCAGGTAACGTGGTCTGGGATTGCGGGGGGAGGATCAGAATAGTTTTAGTCGCATAGTAACACCCCCACACACACACTTGTGGGTCTCCCCTCGGCACCTTCATCCTGTCCCCTTAAAGGCAGAAACACCAGGACGGGTAGGGTGGGGGAACACACTTGTCGGAGTGAATACTTTTGTTTGTCAGGAAAGAAGCGCGCACGCCGGAAAGTCGCTGTAGCTTTGATTGAACAGCGCGCCCGTCTCTCGCGAGCTGGCAAAGGTTTCTCTGGGCTTTGTTTGCGGCGGATCCCTGAAAAGGGGGGGAGTGGGGAAGAAGTCGTCCTTGATGCACCCACACATCTAGAAATACCCGTCGGGGAGACCGCCCACCGCCGGAAAAGGATAGCTTCTCTTTCTACATGGTTTTCAATAGCTGCGTTGCTCCCCACTTCTCCTTCTTAGGGACCGTCTCGCCGTTGGTTCGCTTACGGCTGCGATCCCCAGCACTCTTACCCAGGAACAAGTCCCGCTAAAACCCATTTAACTTCTGAATGAATAAATGGAGGATCGGGATGCAAACCAGATCTTGATCTAACAGGCGAGGCGAGGGAGGGCTGTCTACCACCCGCATCCCCCAGCTTCGTTGAGCTCCCTGGTGCGTATACATATATGCATACGTGTGAGTGTGTGTGCATGTATATGCGCGTGCACGCGCGCACCCACCCCTGACCTAGAACTTATGGCTGACGCTCTAAACTGCTTCAGAGCTTTGTGACACTCCTTTGGGGTTTTCTGTTAGGGATTAGTCGGGTTCCTTATAAGGAAGTCTATCCCCCAATGTTACATAAAGATTTCCAGAGCAGAAAAAGGAATGAAGAAAGGACAGGCAGCCGATCCAGCCAAAGCACCAGCAATCTGTTCCGAATGCAATGCGCTTCAGAATCGGATCGCAGCTGCAGGGGATTTCGAATTGGCCAGCGGCGAACCCTTAGGCCTTCCTGCCAGCGCCCTGTGATGCCCAATGCACCTTTTCACTTGTGCTTTTTGGGCTGCGGGGGGTGGTGGAAGGTGCCATCCTAAGAATCTTTGTTTGGGGGCCAATCCTGCCGAGCTGGTGAGGGTTTCTGTCCTAGTATAAAGGCCGGCATGGAAGCTGGGCTCAGTGGTACAGGCAGCCCATGGGCCGCCAGGATCAATCCCTCGCATCCCGGGTTGATCACATATTGCTGGGACCCTTGAACATCTCGATCATGTTGGGACCGGAAGGAAGTTCGCGTGTGGGTTGGGCGAAAGTTCATTTGATGAATGCGCTTCGATTTAGGACCGGTGTAGGTGCACGCTCATAGAATTATACAGTTGGAAATGACCCCAAGGGTCATCTAGTCCAAACCAGGCTGCAGCTTCAAGGCAAATGCGGCCGAATAGAAAGCCAACCCGTCAGGCGCACGGAAGGCCAGCCTGGTAGTGGCGCTTCTGTTTCGGGATCAGGCTAAGAGGGCGATCCTATAGCTAGGACAAAGGCCCACGAAGCCCTTCTGGGGACTAAGGGGAACTGCCTGAACCTCTCCTCTCTCCCCAGTCTTCAAAAGGCGCGCACGTGGAAACGCCTGCGGGTCTCAGTGGAGTTCAATTCGTCGAAGAGAGAGATGTTCCCGAGTAAGAGTGGAGACAGAGCGTCCTCTGGGCAGGCTACTCTGGGGTGGGGAGGGGGTTAGGAGGAAGGTCCTGCATCTTCTTCCCTTCTCACCCCCCCATGACCCGCTCCCTGCCTCTTATTCCGGCCTCCTCTTCTCTCACACCCCCCCCCCCAGAAAGCCAAGGCTCTCCCCGACGGCCCTGCGGCAGGTCAGGTTGGCCTAGGAGGAGCAGCAGCAGCGCCGCCGCCGCCGCCCTGCCTCTTGAGCCGACGCGGGCAGGCAGGGCGGGAGGGAGGGAGCCGTGGCCAAGGGCTTGTCAGGCGAGAAAGTGTGTTTGCCTGATTGTTTGGAGTTGCTGCCATTAAGGGAGCCGGGCTCCCTGCAACCCAGCAGGGTTCTCCAAGGAAGCGCTGGAAACGCCACGGCTCCCGCCTGCTTATCTGGCTGTCAATAAAAGGAGATGGCTCCGAAAAGCAGGGCCAGGTGCTGCCTTGCCTTCTCTCCAACCGGCGCGGCTCTTCAGAAACTGATCAGGCGTGAAGCCAAGTCTGCTTGGCCAGGCCTTCGGAGCGAGCAGACAAACAGTCCCCCGGCCAACGCCCGAGTGTTGCCCGGGTTGCCTTCCGAGCTCCGGGGGCGGCGAGTGTGTGTGTGTGTGTGTGTATGAGAGAGAGAGAATTAAACAGAAAAAGGCAGTCAGGACACACAAGCGCGCACACACATACACACCGGGTGATAAATGCTGCGGCGTGGCTTGATGATCCGATCCGGATTTGAAAAGGGAAACCAGTCGGCAGGCACGATCTGGATGCTGGGCTGGGGCGCGCGCGCGAAAAGCCACCCCCCCCCGATCTTTCGGACAGCGCAGCCACCTCCATCGGATCAGATGGCAGTTTAATTACACGCTTGCCTTTTCCTCGCTCTTTCCCCCCTCGAACAAATTTTCAGGCGAGCATAATCTCAGTCACTCCGCATCTCTGCGGCGTGGAGTGACATGGCTTTGGGAGGAGACCCCCTCTGCCACCCCCTCCCCTCCGTTCCCTCCAGGCTCCTGTTGGGTAGCCCCTTAAGCCCCTTCTAAATTAAAACAGGAGTAAACGAAGAGGTGCATTTGTGACTAAGAGGTGTGTGTTTTTGAGAGAGGGAGAGAGATCTGAAATCCCCGTCATCATTTCCTAACTTATTCGGGAAAGAGAAAGAGGAAGAAATCCCACAAACTTCAAAGTGAGCATAAACATCACCTGTACTGGTAATGTTTGGGTCTGGCATACGTGTGTGTGTGTGTTTGTGTAGAGAGAGAGAGATCGCCCCTCTCTCCCCGCTTCGCAGGTCTTTCAACGTGCTGGAATCGTCCTCCAAGGATCTAAAAAGCTGGCGCCGTGTAAACGCGGACGGGAACTTCCCTTTTCTCTCTCAGAGTAACATTAAGGGGAAATTAACATGCCGTCGAGGTAGATAAGGCGCTAATGAGGGCGCTGAGCTGGCAAGGAGCGGAGCCCTGCCTTCAATGGAGGCGTTTTGCCGCTCAGCCTTTCTGATGGGCAGGAGGCTCGAAAGCTGTGAAGCCACTTTGAATGGGATGCAGGCAAGAGGCAACAATAATGTGTTACAAATTTATAAGCATTATACATATTTGATTTACACAGCGATAGGAAGCCTCTCTCTCTCTCTCTCTCTACAAGGATGCCCCAAACCCCGTGTGTTCGCTTAGATGGAGCAATTCGCAACCCACACACACAGACACACACACACACACGGGCACACACACGCGCGCGCTGTAATAATGAGGTTTAATTCTCTACCCAAGCAGAACTTGAGCAATAATAATAAGCACATCAGAACAATTTGTTTACTGTGGCATCGCACAGACGGCAAAATAAGGTCCGAGAAGGACTAGCTGCTAGAAAAGGGTGTTTATTGTTTGTTTTTTTTTATTTAAAAAAAAGAGGGGGAGGAAAAAAATTAAATAAAACAAGCCAGGGACGAACCTAAATTTCACAGAGGAGGGGAAAGTATTGCGAGCAGAAAAGTGGCTTGAATCGAAGGCAAAAGAGGGAAATGCTTCGGTAGAAGGGATCTGGTGCCCTTGCTCAAGGTATGTGTTTTTTAAAATAAGTCGATTACTTAGTAAATGCTTTTCCTTGGGTCTCCTTGGACTTTGATTTCAGAACGGGGGGGACACCTCAAACCCCCTCCCTGCTGTCTCCTGGTCTTTAGTTTTTCTCGCACACATTTCCATTTCAGAGATGGATGTCTTGTTGTTGTTTTTTATCTCTCCCTTACCTACCTGCCTACCTGCCTTTCAGGCTAACTTTTAGGATGATTTAAACCGATGTAAAGCAAAGCTGTGTCTGCAACAAGAGAAATGGGTTGTCATCGGATAGATCATGCCTAGGTGGGCTTGCCCGTGTTGACGTGGGATCCAGCTCGGATTCAAATCGATAACAAAAGCCCTCCTTGACTGCACCTGGTCAGGGTAGGTCTAGGTGACATCAAGAATCCGGCGGCAAGCCTGGCTAGGCAAGTTGAGAAATAATTCTCTTCCTGGGTCTCATGATACCTTGTTAACCAGCTCTCCCTCCTCATACCCACCGAAAACATCGCCTAGCATTTTTCAGTACTTGCAAATCACAGTATTGCCCGACACCCCTGTCCTCAACGCATGATGG